ACTGTGGGGAAAGATGGAGTACAGCTCCCTTTCCCAGTGTCTTCCTCTACCTTGTGACTTTTGTTATTTTAGTTCTAGTTCTTTTTGTGGTTACTTTCATGACTTTAAATAATAAACATAGGCTGTTTTTTCATCCATCAACATTATAGATACTGCAACTTGACCCCCTAACTTGTAAGATGAGGACCACTGTGTCCTTACATTTCTTTCCATCTCTCTGCTCATTTGCCTCCCAAATTCCACAAGCTATTTAACTACTGCCCACATGCTATGAGCCAGGACCTAATCTAAACAATTTACAAGTAGTAACTCATGAACTCATTATTAAATGAGTTAAAATGCCATCTGAGTAGTTTATTGTTATTTCCCACATATTTAGAGATAAGGAAACTGGGCCCCAGAGAATATCATTTGTCTGATTTCAAGGAAGTAATTGACTAGAATTTGAATTCAGGACCTTGGCTCCAGTTCATGGCCTTAGTCACTGTGCTATGATACCCTCCCACCAGCTTAGTATGTTTTCCTTTAGAAAGATTGAACATTATTTGGATTTCATTATGTCATCTTATATTACTTATAATGCTTTCTTTTTGGTGGTACTGAGAGTTGAACTCAGAGCTTCACACTTGCTAGGCAGGAACTCTTCTGCTCGGGCCACACTCCTAGCTCTTTATGCTTTTTTATCTTCATTTTTATTCACTTACGTTCGATTAGCTGTTTTCATAATTTCTTTTTTATCACCGCTACTAGTTTAGAAATTATGTATTCTATTTCTTCTTTTTTGGTTATTGTCCTTAAAACATCCATATGCGTACCTGAATTAAAAACCTTAAGTCAATCACCATCTCCTTCCCTCTTCCCTGATAATATCTTTGTGGTTTTTACCTAAGAAAATCATCTTCCAATCTTACTTCTTATGCTACACAGTATTTTATGCTTTCTTTTTACCATGTAAATAAGTGTGTATTATTATTATTATTATTTATAGTCAATGCTACTTTAGATTTATCCATATTTACCAATTTCTTTGCTCATCATTACTTGGACATCAGTGTTTCTTTCAGTGAAGGTTCATGAGCGGACCTCTCAGTTTTTGTCGGAAAAATGTCTTAATTTGCCCTCTTTTGAGAGTAGCAGCTTAGCTAAGTAAGGATTAGCAGCAGTTTAGTAATATTACTTCATTGTCTTCTAGTTTTTACTGTTGTTGAGGTATGACCCCTCCAACTTCCTGCTCCAATATCACTTTAACTACCAGAGGTCCTTTGATTTCCCATACGAAGTTTAGGATCAGCTTGTCCAATCTGCAAAAACGGCTCCAATAAGTTTGGTAGAAATTGCGTTGAATCTGTAGATCACCTTGACTACTGCCATTTAAGCAACATCAAGTCTTCCCATCTGTGAACAAGTGTTGTCTTTTCATTTGAGTCTTTTTTCATGTCTTTCAACAACATTTTGTAGTTTTTGTTGGACAAGTCTTGCATTTTTTTGGTTAAATTTATTCCTAAATATTTTATTCTTTTTTGATGCTGGTGTGGATGGGATTGCTTTAATTTCATTTTCAAATTGTTCATTGCAAATGCATAGAAATACAATTGATTTTTGTGTATGATCTTCTATCTTGAAACTTTCCTGAACTCATTCACTCTAGTAGTTTAAGTTGTGTGTATGTGCGTGTGTCTAGATTCCACAGGATTTTCTATATAAAAGATCATGTCATTTGCAAATGGGGATATATAGTTTTACTTCTTCATTTCCAGTCTTGATGTTTTTTATTTCTTTTTCTTGCCTAATTTCACAAGCTAAGATCTTCAATACAATGCTCATCGATTTTTGAATATTAAGATTCATGTCTTTGGGCTGGTGGAGTGGCTCAAGTGGTAGAGTGCCTGCCTAGCAAGCATGAGGCTCTGAGTTCAAACCTTAGTACCACCAAAAAAAACCCAAAACACCAAACACCTTGCTGTCTCTTTCTCTCATCAAATGGCTCTGAATACCGAATTCCCACCAGTCTCCTACTTTCTCCCTGTGGAATTTCTACTAGATGCATGGTCGGCAGGTACAAAGGGAATAATAATAACCCAGAGGAGCCAAGGAACAGGCTCAATATGGTTTTGCCAAACACCCTGCTCCACCATTATCCTGGAGTAATGGTTGACGTGGTTGAGGCTTCTTCTTGGTACAGTGGCCAAATGGCCCCAGTAGGGGATGACTCCAACAGGGACTTTCCCAACTCTAGAGGATAGACAGAGGCCTCATATATATCCCATGTACACCCCTCTCCTCAAATCACCATCTTGGTTCTGAGGACACCTTATTAGATATACCACTCAACACCCACCAGTTCTTGGAAATGCTCTCCTGTTTCTTGGGTAACTCCACAATCATGTATATATCCTTAACATAATTATTGAACCCTATCCATAAAAGAGCCTGAGACCTAGGGACTTGGGGTACTTGACTGCTTGGTCAAGCTGCCTACCCTCAATTTCCTTTGGAGGTGGTACCATGGCTTTACAATTACTTCTGCTTCAATAAAATCTAGCTTTTGCTTAAATAAATTTGCTCTGCCAAAAACTTTTCTGCATGTCCACTCCTGAACTTGTCTTCCCCGATATAGATCACTGTGCTTCTGTCCAGGAGAGACAAATATGTAGCTATCAACATAATTTATGTTTTATCTCTTTACATGTCTTCATTTTACTCTAGCTTATTAAGTACTAAATTTCAATGTCTTTATTTTCTACTTCTGGAAATTCTGCTTCATTCTTTTCCAAACACCATTCTTTTGGTTTTACTTCCTTCTTTTATGTCTAGTGATTTTATGGATTTTTTTGGTTGTTTTTTTGTTTCTGTGATACTGGGATTTGAACTTTGGCTTCACACTTGCTAGGCATACACTCTACAGCTTGAGCCACACCTCCTGCCCAAAGATGATAATTTTCTATTCTGTTTCTGATTACTGTTACTATTACATCAAGTTCTTAACTTTAATTTTCCTGTTATGTCTGTTAACTCTGGCTCATGGTAATTCTTTCTATTTTATAATTTTTAATGTAAGCTCATATGGGGTTCATTTGAAACTCTTCCTTGCACACCCTCCCTTTCTTTTTGCCTTCAGTCCCCCCCCGCCCCCAATCCTTTTGCAAGTGTTTCATCACCTCCCTTTTGTCCAGCAGTCTAAATTCTAGAGAGAAGCCCCTGGCACTGGGCATGGTGGCACACCCTGTGATCTCAGCTGTGGGGCATGGAGGCAGGGAGGATCTTGAATTCCAGTTGCTTATCAAACAACACTACTAGCACAGCTTAAAAGCAGAAGCAAAACTGAGGCCCTCCCTGATCTCCCACGCCACCATGACAGACAAACCTCCAGACAGAAGCACTGCCCGGGCAGCCTCTCCACCTCTCTCTTCCTTGAAAGTCAGTCATCTGATTCTGGCTCTCTCTCATCACTCCACAAGGTCCCAGTAACCAGCCCTGAATCCAGTGGCTGCTCTCCAACCTTACTTTATGCCACCTTCCTCTAGCCTTGGCCTAGCCCTTTGTCCCATGAAAACACAGCTTCACTCCTGGCTTCCTCCACAACATCCTCTGGATCTTCCTCCTGCCACACTGGCCCATCTATGTCTCTCTTGGCTGAGTTCAATTCCCGCTAATTTTTTTTTCATTTTTAAGATTAAAAAATGGCCCATATAATCTCTCAGCACAGATGGCTTCTGTGGATCTTTATAAAAACAAGAAGCAAACAAAAGAAAGGGAATACAGGGTTGGAATATTCAAAACGCAACAGAATGTAGTGATGTTATACGCAGATGTTCACACTAGACACTTGTCAGCCCTCCAGTCCCTCACCTTGCCTTCCACAATCAGACTCTGGCCTTGGCCTGTCAGTCAGTCATGCCTCCCCCTCCTAAGTCATCTACGTCCCTCCCCCTCCCCTAATGGCCTCCTAATTTCTTACCAGGACAATTCTAGCAGCCTCCTTCCACCCTTCCCCCACTCTCACCCTCACCCCTTCCTCCCAAGCCAGCTTACACACAGGAACATGAGCAGGCATTACATTACCTGAGCCCACAGGCCCCGTGTGCTGCTCCAACCTCCTTGCTAACCCCTCAGAAATGCCAGGTGTTGTCCCAGCACAGAACCTCGGCCCAGGCTACATTGTCATCTGCTTTCATCCTGCAAGTCTCAGCAATGCACGAAGAACTTCCCCAATTGTCCTGTCTAAAGGTGTACACCTCCAGGCTGGGCACAGTAGCTCACTTCTGTAATCCCAGCTACTCAGGAGACAGAGATAGGAGGATTGGGTTTCAAGCAAAAAGGTAGGTGGACCCTATCTGAACCAGTAAGCTGGGTATGGTGGTGTGAGGCTGTCATCCCAGCAACTCAAGAAGGATATGTAGGAAATCATAATCCAGGCCCTCTTTGAAGAATAACTAAAACTCAAAAGGCTAGGCGTGTGGCTCAAGTAGTACAGAGCCTGCCTAGCAGTTCCAACCCAAGTACCGCCCCCCCCTCACCAAAAAAGGTGTCCACCTCTGTTTTTATACTCCTCATACCCTTTTTTGCTTTTTTTATGGTGTTTATCATGCATATATAAGATCTATAATTCTCTTACTCATCTATTCTCTTCATCTCTGACTCCTGGCCAGGCCACAGGTCACAGGAGATAGGAGCTGACTCCATCCCACTCACCATGGATTCCCAGCGCCACGTCCACTTTGGCTAGATGGGTATGCCAGGCATTGCACTATGTGTCACACATTCAGTCTTCCTGCAAAGTAGCTAATTTCCCCCACTATGTATCTGAGGAAACTAAAGCTCAGACAGGTCAAGGGAGGAGCCATGTCACATGTGCAGGGGGCGGCCTGGCCCAAACAACTCGGAGGGACTGACCCCTCCAGTCCTCATTTTTCACTAGTGTCTCTCTCTCACTCCCTCTCTCTCTCTCTGTGCAGTGACAATGGCTCTGAAGGGACCAAGTCCCACCACATGGTTCTTACCATGTAGGCTGCAGAAGCCAGTTCGTAAATGATGGCCTGAGCTCCCAGCTCTGTCACGTTAATGAGTCCTGAAATATCAACACACACAGAATGCATCTCAAAAAGTGGAATGAAGGCAACATTTTCCTTAAGAAACTAAAACACATACATTTTTTTCTTCAGTGGTGCTGGGGATGGAACCCAGAGACCAAGGCACACTAGCTAGGCAAGCTCTCCACATCCTCAACCCCTAGGACCTATTTTAATTTAAGAGAATCCAAGAATGCCCCAGAAGTATAATCTGATGATAGAATTTGCCAGCTGCTGAGGAGAAGCCCAAACATCTTTTCCTGGAGAGTTTTCAAGATGTCAGGCAGCTAAAATTGGCTCAGATCAATATGCCATGCCCTGCTCAAACCAGGAGACAAACACCAGGTTCAAAGTCAGAAAATATGAGGATCGTGGAGTTGCAGGCAGTTCTTGGGAGACATGGGGTCACACTGTGGGAGGACAGGTGACTGGTAGCAGAACACTGCATACAGCGGATGGGACAAGTGAAGAGTGCAGTGTCTACAGAAACTGCACCTCTGTTACTCTCACCTGCTTCTGGCTTCATCACTCTTGCTTCATTATGTTCCTAACAATAAAACAGCTAAAGTGAATACCTGTGACCAAAATAATCACCACTCTGGTGGAAACCTGGGTCATAGCTGAAACAGAGCCAAACCAATCCCTCTGCACATGTTAAAGTCCTAAAGCAAAAGTCAGCTGAGGCAAAGTGATCCAGGAGTCAGGAGGCTGGGTGGGGGTTTGTCCTCCCACCCCATGGGCCTTGGCAAATTCCTTATCAGTGGCCTTTCTTTCCCCAGCCCATGCGAGTTGACTATGGTCCTCCCAGGGCTTCTGTCTATCTAGAAAGCCTTCAAGAAAGCCTGATCAGTAGCAGGATGGAGAAGCAAAACTTAAGTTTCTGGGACAGTTCAGAAGACAGGACTGGCCGGGGTGGGCGTGGGTTTCCCCTGGAGGCCGACAAACCTGCGAGGAAGGTCCCAGTCTCGAAGGTCCACCACTCGATGCACACCATGAACAGACTGGGGATGGCCAGGCGGGTGTACAAGCTCCACTCCTGGAAGCACTCGCGTGTCCAACCTGGAAAGCAGGTGGGAAAACAGCAGGGTACTGTGGAGTGGCCCTGATGCCAGCTGCCCTGCCTCTGCAGCTCAGCCAGAGACCAAAGTGAGAAGGTGTCAAGAAGGACCCAAACTTGAGACACCAGGCACCAAACTGGCAAAAAAAAAAATGGGCAGTGATGTGGAACTACGTGAATCACCCATACCTGCCACTGCTGAGTACAAACAGCAGAGAAATGTTTGTGGGGTTCCATAAAAACATGTAGGATATTTGCTGTGGTAGACTGGTTGGGGGATGGGAAGACATCAGGAGGCCAGCACAAAGGAACTAGAGATGTAAAACATGACAGAGGCACACCGGGTAGGTATGTGTGTGTGTGTGGCAGTGGGATGTGAACTCAGGGCTTCAAGCTTGCAAAGCAGGTGCTCTACCACTTGAGCCACACCTCCAGTTCATTTTGCTCTGGTTACTTTGGAGATATAGTTTCCTGAGCTATTCACCTGGGCTGGCCTCAAACTATGATCCTCTCTATCTCAGCCTCCCAAGTAGCTAGGATCACAGGCTTGAATATTTCAAAAATTAAACAGTTGCAGGGAATAATGAAAAGTTACTTGGAACTAAAAAACAATTTAAAACAGTTAAAGGTAATAAAAATAGTAGCTAATATTTGTCAAATGCCCTTTATATCACAGTTTTTGTTCCAGGACCTTTGCAAGTATTGACTCAGTTCATCCTCACCGGAACTCGGTCTTGTTATTATTATTATTACCATCTTACTACTGTGGAAACTGAGGCTCAGAAGTTAGTAGTTGTCCCTGACCCCACTGCTAAGTAGCAGGACTCACCCTGGGCAACCTGGCTACACAGCCAGTGTGCTCTACCAACCCCAAATGATGAGGAACTGTAAGAGAAGAGGCCAGGAGAGAAACAAAAGGAAGAAAACTGATCATGAACAGAGGAAAAAAAAAAAAAGCAATTCTGGGCTTGGAGGGAGGAAGGGAGGGAGAGAAGGAGGAAAGGCGGGAAAGAAGGGGTAGCAAGTTGAAACCAGAAAAAACAAAATAAAATACTAGGCTGAGAGTGATGGTTCCCGCCTGTAATCCCAACTATTTGGGAGGCAGATGTTGGAAGGATGGCAGTTGGAGACCAGTCCATGCAGAAAGTTAGCATGTATCAACCAAAAAGCTGGACATGGTAGTGCATGTCTGTGGCTCCAGCTGTGCAGGAGGCATTGGTAGGAAGATGGCAGTCTGAGGCTGGCGCCAGGCAAAAATGCAAGGCCCTGTCTGAAAAATAAAGCAGAAAAGGGCTCAGGGTGTGTTTCAAGTGGTAGCATGCTTGGCTAGCAAGCACAAGACCCTTAGTTCAGCACTCATTAAAAACTACAGATTCTTGCCAGATGCCAGCGGCTCACACCTGTAATCCTAGTTACTCAGGTGGTAGAGATCAGGAGGATCACGGTTCAAAGCCAGCCCAGGCAAATAGTTCATGAGACCCTATCTCAAAAAACCCTTCACAAAAATAGGGCTGGTGGAGTGGCTCAAGATGAAAGTCCTGAGTTCAAGCCCCAGTACTGCAAAAAAAAAAAAAAAAAAAAGAAAGAAAGAAAAGAAAAGAAAGAAAGAAAACCAAGAGATTCTTAGAGGGATTAATGCTATTTCAGAAGAAACACCCAAAAGGAAATGGCATAGGAAGGTGGTGCACTAGAAAAAGCTAGTAGGTACATGGGACAAATTGTACTTTCATAATCAGTGACACAAGTTGCTGGGCTGCTGGTTTGTGACAACAAGAAAGAATTCAGTGAGTGCAGCTGACCACGGCCTTGAATCTGCACTGACCCAGCCTCCTCTAGCTCCACACACAGCAGGCGGTGCAAAAGCAGGCTTCCTGGGCTGTGCTGAGGAGAGGCGCTCAGAACAGACTCTGCTCAGCTAAGCAAGCATCAGGCTACACTATGAAGAGGAAAAGCATTTTGGGAAAACAGTAAATGCAGCCGAATACTTCATGGGCGTGTTCACCGATAGAACTTTGGACAAGATCTGGCGTAATGGAGAAATCTTCCCATAAAAGAGAGAAGAATTCATCTAACTAGACAACAGACTTGGGGAGATCACTGGCCCCAAGTTTCTGTCCCTGGATCACCAGCTGTCACCAGTAGTTAAGAGATCTGAGATTAGTGGGTCTCTGGGTTAGATGAATAAAATTATTCCTGGAGAAGGAGGAAGAGAAAGAGGAAGAATAAGGGGAACAGATGCTGAGCTGGCGTGTGATCCCAGCTTCGAGGGAGGCTGTGAGATGAGAGGATCACGACTTCAAGGCCAGCCTGGGTGACACAGTGAGACACTGGCTCAAAAAATTAAAAAAAAAATTAAATCAAAAGGAGCTAGGAGTGTCACTCAATAGTACAGTACATGCTTAGCCTCCACAAAGCCCTGGGTTGATCCCCCCAGCCCCAAAAGAAAAAGAAAAAGAGAGAAGATAGTGAAGAAGCCAATTTATACTTTGTCATGTTAATACTTTAAATGATGACACTTTTGTACTGAGTTTAGTGTGAGAAAAATTGGTGAGTTTTATAATCATTGTGCATTTGGTACATACTGTATTTTTAAAACCTTTAAAGGTATCTTAAGGCATTTATGAGACTGATATAGTAGACTGAAGATTTTAATTAATTGAAAGTGATACATTTGCAGTTAGTCTTTTAAATGTTTGAGGAATTCTAAATTGTTACATTGTTGATTTTTAGTTGTATAAGTACTACAGAAGAATGTTGAGTATTTAAATAATGATAAATGGTTAATAAACTCACATGAAATACAAAAATCCACACCAAGCCTCCCTAAACATGAAAAGATCTACAAATCTGATATAATTAACTGCATCTGCAGTGGGTCCAAAGTATGCATTTGAGATTATAAAAAAAACCTATTTCAATATGGCGCTTTTCCTCTACCACTGAAATAAGAGGGGCAAGTGGATGAAAACCAAGACAGAAAGTGAGTGAGGAGAAGAAGATAACCTTTGCATAGTAGATTTCTGCTATCCCTCCTTCACTTATTAATTATTGGTACTTAGCCACTTCTGAAGAAGCAATTCATTTGTCTCATAACCAGACAGATTACGTCCATCATAAAACAGATGAAATAGTCCAGACAGGCCGAGCTACAGAGGAATAGAGCAGATTAGTGGTTGCCTGGGGCTGAGGGTGGAACAGAATTGAACTGTACACTTCAGGAGGACTCTCTTCTGGATGATGGAATGTTCTAAAATTGGATGGTGGTAATGAACTTGTGAAAAATTGTTTTAAATGAGTGGATTTCACGGGAGGTAAGTTACACCTCTTTAAAGCTAATAATTGAGCTAGTTCCCCTCATTTTGACTTTGAAACAGAAATACCCTGAAGTGATTAAGAGTCCTGGGCTGACAAGAGGAGGTGAGGGGTGTTGGGGTGCGGAGCTGGCAGCGGGACACCGAGAGACTCTCTGAGGCTCACTTATCCATGCCAGCTCTTAAAAGTGACAAGAAAGCAAAAGGAAGGAGGAGGATTATCTTCTGAAAAAGCTGAGATTAAAGGATTTAAGCTCGTTCTTAGTTTATCACTTTGAGCAGATTAACTTTGTTTTAAAATACAAGTGTAAGACACTTTTCTTGTTTCAGGCAGTCTGATCTCATTTATATCATTTGTAAAATGGGTTAAAATCAGCACCCCGCTATTCCAGAGTACAGCAGCCTCCTTATCTCTGGGAATACGGGCAGCATCTAGTGCTAGAACCGCAGAAGTACTGAATCCTGTATGGACTATGCTTTTTCCTATACACATACCTATGACAAAGTTCAATTTATAAATTAGGCACAGTGAGAGACTAACAACAATAACTAATAATAAAATACAACAATTTTATCAACATAAATGTCATGTGACTGTGGTCTCTCACTCTCTCAAAATATCTCGCTGATCACTGATAACTGTGGATGGGGAGGTGCTAACTGTGCAATACTTAACAAGAAGTATTGCTTCCACATGTAAAATGGCAGATCATCTCTTCTGGGAAGTTCTTTGCCACACAGGAGCACCATGAAATTCAGCAAGATAAATGAGAAGCCAGGAGGAGGGGAGACAATTTAAGAGCAATTGCCAGCAGGGTTTCCTGAGGGCTCCTTCCTTCCCAAGGGGGTAAGGACTATTTGTCTACCCAAATCCATCTCCCTATCTTTCTCAGAAAAAAAGATGTCAAATTTGAGAGGCTGTTCGTACATTTCTTGCATGTGGGATGGCCACATGTGTCAAGTGTTGGCCAAAGGGATAAAATCAGAATTGATGCAGACAGCGCTTAGCATCCTTTGCCAGAGCCAAGGTGTGGGCCAAGCTACATGTCCATCAATGAATGAACAGATATTAGAATATTATTCAGCTTCTACAAGAAATAAAGTTCTGTCATTTGGAACAGAATTCGGATGAATGTAAAGAACGTAATGATAAGTGAACTATGCCAGGCACAGAAAAGTGAATACCACACTGCCTCAGTTTACATGGAATCTTAAAACAGCTGAATAAGGAAAAGTAGAGAGTAGAACAATGGCTGCCTGTGGCTGGGATGTAGGGAAGGAGGGAGGAAATAGGGAGCTACTGACCAGGGCATACAAAGTATCAGCCAGATAGGAGGAATAAGTATTGAGATCTATTGCACAGCAGGGTGACTGTGGCTAAAAAAAATAATGTACTATGAGCCAGGAGCTGTGGCTCACACCTGTAATCCTAGCTACTTGGAAGGCTGATATTGGAAGGATTGAGATTTGAGGCCAGCCTGGGCAAATTGCTCCAGAAACCTATCTTGAAAATACCCAACACAAAAGAGGGCTGGTGGAGTGGCTCAAGTGGTAGAGCACCTGCCTAGTAACCACAAGGCCCTGAGTTCAAACTTCAGTACTACAAAAACAAACAACAAAATATCTTACAAAGTAAATTTTAAATGTATTATCACAAAAAAATGTCAAGTGGACCAATAGGTATGTTAATTAGCTTGATTTACTTGCTTCATGTTTCATCTGTACACCTCAACCTCACGGTCTAACACCATAAATGTGATGCAGTTATGATATGCCAATTAAAAACATAAACATTAGATTAATACATTTTTGTCCCAGCTAAAACTGGCAGGCTATTTAGAAACTACAGATTGTAACTGGGTGGTAAAGGTGAAGGAAACAATGAAAGAATTACATAAAGGTACAAGCATCGGGTGGAATGGCACAAAGGAAAGTGTCTTCAGAACCACACAAGAGACTAAAGGAGCTCAGACAAACACACTAGCAAAAACGTTGTGCATCCCTGTAATCCCAGCCACATGGGAGGCAGAGGTAGAAGGATCATGGTCTGAGATTGGTCGGTGACATAAAATCCTATCTGAAACAAACTAAAGCAAAAAAGGGTTGGGGATATGGCTTAAGTGGTAGAATGCTTACCTAACAAGTGCAAGACCCTGAGTTCAAACCCCAGTACCATCAAAAATAAATCCTCAACAAAACATGAGTAAATTGAATTGGAGAGCACATTAATAGGATGTTAGCATCATGAACTGTATGATGAAGCTGGATTTATCCCTGGATGTGATAAGTGTAGTACACTGCATAAGCAAAATTCAGGATAAAAACCATCTGATTACCTCTACAAGCCCAGAAAAAGATATTCCAAATGCAACAGTCTTTCATGATAAAGACTGTGAATAAATTAGTTACAGAAGGAATGCACGTAACACAAAAAGGTCAGAGAGGGCAAACCCACAGCCACCTCACACTCAGTGGATGAAGCCCTTTCCTCAAAGATCTGGACTGAGGCAAGGGCACCCACCTTCTTGACTTCTGTTCAATACAGTACTGAAAGTGCCCATCTGAGCAGTTAGGCAGGAAAAGAAACAAAAGGCATCCAAATCACACAAATTTTCTCTGAGTGACCATGTATACAGAAAACCCTGGACTCCACCAAAACAAAACAAAAACAAAAACACTGCTAGAATAAATGAATTCAACATACAAAAATCATTTGTGTGTCTCTATAGTGACAACAAACTATCTGAAGAAGAAATTAAGAAGGCAGTCCTGCGTACAATAGCATCAAAAAGAATAAAATACTTAGGAATAAATTTACCCACAAGGTAAAGATCTTTTATTTATTTATTTATTGTGGTATTGGGGTTTAAACTCAGAGCCTTATGCTTCCTAGGCAGAGCTCTCTATCACTTGAGCCACTCCACTAAGCCCTGATTTGTACTGGATATTTTTGAGATTGGGTCTCACAAACTATTTGCCCAGGCTGGCTTAGAACTGTGATCCTCCTGATCTCTGCCTCCTGAGTAGCCAGGATTACAGACGTGAGCCACCAGCACCAGCTTCAAGGAGGTAAAGATCTTTATAATGAAAGCTACAAAGCGCAGATCACAGAAATTGAGGACAAATAAATGGAAAGATATCCCAAGTTCATGGACTAGAAGATTTGGTATTGTCAAAATGTCTACACTGCCCAAGTGATCTACAGACTCAATGCAATGCCTATTAAAATTCCAATAGGATTTTCCACAAAAATAGAATCCTAAGATCAGTATGGAAACACAGGAGCCCCTGAACAGCCAAAAAATAAAGCTGGAGGCATCCCAATTTCAAATGACATTATACAATTATCACAGTCAAAGCAAACACATAGACCAACAGAACTGAATAGAGAGCCCAGAAATAAAGTAAAGCATATGCAATCGACTAATCTTCAACAGAGGCTCCAAGAACACGTGATTAGGAAAGGACAATTTCAAAAAATGATGTTGAGAATACTGGATATTGCATGCAAAAAACAAGATGAAAGTGGATTCTTAATTTATGTAAGATTTTAAGTTTTAGATTGAAAGTGTTGAAGATTAAACTTTAAAAATTTAAAGATTATACCATACACAAAATTTAACTCCAAATGGATTAAAGACCTAAATGTGATCTGAACTTGTAAAACTTCCAGAAGAAAACAGGGGGAACGTGCCATGATACTGGTCTTGGGAAATTTTTTTTTAATTTTGCTTATGATGCCGAAAGCATAGGCAACAAAAGCAAAACTAACAAGTGGAACTACCTAAAACTAAAAGGTTTCTGCACAGCAAAGGAAATAACCAACAGTCGACCTAGAGATGGAATAAAATATTTGCAAACTATACATCTGATAAGGGTTTATTTGGGTTTTTTTGTTTGTTTGGCGGCACTGGGGTTTGAACTCAGGGCCTCATGCTTCCTAAGCAAACACTCTTACAGTTTGAGCCACTCCGCCAGCCCTCTGATAAGGGTTTATATCTGATAAGGAATTAATATCCAAAATATATAAGGAACTCATACAGCTCAATGGCAAAAAGGCAAAAAGAAAAGTAACAAACAAAACAAAAACAAAACCACTATCACCAACTAATTTGATTTGAAAATGGGCAAAGGACCTGAATGATATTTCTTAAAAGATGACACATAAGTGGCCAGCAGGCATAAGAAGTGATAACTAAGGTGCACATTGGGAATTGTCAGGGAAATGCAAATGAAAACCACAAGGAGCCATCACCTCAAACCTGCTAGGGTAGCTATTACTGAAAGGACTGGGAGCCAGTCGTGGTGGCTACTCGGGAGGTGGAGGTAGGAGGATCACAGTCTAAGCCTGGCCTGGGCAAAAGCATGAGAGCCTGTCTGGAAAACAAACTAAAAACAAAAGGACTGGTAGAGCATCATCCCTGAGTTTAATCGCCAGTACCAATGCTAAGTGCTGGTAAGGATATGAACAGAGGACCCCTAAACACTGCTGGGAATGTAGGTTGTACAGCCAGTACAACAGTATGGAGGTTCCTCAAAAAAATATAAAAATAGAACTATAATATGATCCAGCAGTCATGCCTCTGGAGAGACAGCCAAAGGAAATGATATCAGTGTCTTGAAGGCTCCTGGCCGCCCATGCTCACCAGTGTTGCTCACAGAAGCCAAGCCACGGAAACCAGCTAAGTGTCCATGGAGAGATAAATGGATAAAGGAACTGTGGTGCATGCACACACTGGAATGTTATTTTAAAAGAAGGAAATGCTACCATTCATGATAACACGGATAAACCCAGGCCACCTTATGTTAAGTGAAATAAGCCAGATGTAGAAAAGCAAATGCTGCGTGACCTCACGTATATGTGGAATCTGAAAAGCCCGCACTCTTAGAAACAGGGTAGAAGGGTGGTTATGGGGTTGGGTTCATGTTGCTAAAGGGTACGAAGGTGATGATGAAGGTTATGAGATGAGCAAGTGCTGGAGACCAAATGCACACCACAGTGAGTACAGCTTTCTACTCCATCCCTTCCATTCGCTGACAGAGTAGATCTGAGTTATTCTGACCAAACACCAAAAAGGCTAACTATGTGAGCTGATGGGTATGTTAACTAGCTTTGTAGCAGTGATCATTTCAAAATGCACACGCACATCAAACTATGTTGGGCCAGACACACGGTGCATATGGTGGTATGCACTTGTAATCCAAGCTACGGGGGAGGCTGAGGCAGGAAGATAGTGAGTTTGGGGTCAGCTTGGGCAACTCAGTATGACCTTGTGTCAAATTTTAAAAACTGGAAAACGTTGCCATGCATGGTGGTACACGCCTTATATAATTCTTGCACTTGGGAGACTGAGGCAGGAGGATCATGAATTTGAGTCCTGCCTGGGCTAGGTAGCAAGACCCTGTCTCAAAAATAAATAAATAGATAAAAATTAAAACAGGAAAAAATAAAAAGGCTGAGGATGTCACTCAGTGGAAGAGCACTTGCCTAGTGTGCATATGTGAGACCCTGAGTTCAATCCCCAGTACTGGAAAAACAAACAAAAACAGCCATAACAGCAAAAAACATCATATTGTACTCTTTAAATACATACGTATACAAATTGTGTTTGTTATTTCACATCAATAAAGCTGGAAAAAAGACAAAAACAGAAACAAAACCAAATCTAGTTTATTTAACTTACCAATGCATATTAAAGCATTCAAGGGAATTGAGTGGAGCTGTGAGGTACTGATTGGCTCAGAGTGCAATCTGATCACCTGAGCTGATCACACTACTTCATAGAACAGGATGGTTTTCAAGGAAAAAGTAGGATTTTGTATTAGAAATTTTAATTCATTAAATATTTAAAATATAATTATAATTTAAAATACTTAACACCCAGTAGCTGGGACAGTCTTCTACAAACAAGGTGGCTGCTATGGTGGACACAAGCAGAAAAAAACGCACGGACCCTGTAGCTTTTACATGTTCAGTAACTTAAAAGATTTTCTTAACGTTTAGATTCCCCAAAAGATACAAATAAAAACAACTTCTAAGGTGAAAGTTCAGAAACCAGAATGACGTTACCGAACATGGAGCAGTGGCATGGAAGGAAGCCAGGGACCTACCTCCCCAGGTGCTGATGTGGATTTTCTTCCACCACACGTACAGGAAAAGAAGGGCAGCCAGGAAGAACTGGGAGGTGGTGTTGGCCCAGGCCGACCCTCTGAAAGAGAAAAGGCCATTGTTACTGAGCTAGCCTGTACCATCATTCAAATGAGGGCTTTTAACAGTGATAAGTGCATTTCTAACATCATCCAGAACCCACATTAACACGTTTATGCAAATCCATCCTTGAACCTGAAACAAGTCTCACGAAATCGAGCCCAATAACAATTGTGCACCACATATTTTCTACTTTATTTCACTTCTATTTAGTTCAGAGTATCTCATTTTTCAAAAGTGGTGGTCACTAGAGTGATCTTTGTTTGTAAAGGGAAGCACCCCTAGATTGTTGGGACTCGGTCTGCTCATGCTGGCAGGACTACTCTCTAGCCACATGTGGGGGGCTGGCTCTGGGATGAGGTGCCAGAGATGTCCTCTGTGAGGGGTGGCCCAGCAGGACACCTACTGAGGGAAGCCCAAACTTCCTTCTTTCTCTGTGGGACCCTCATCTCTTCAAGCTTGCTGAGTTGGAATTTGGTTCAGTTGCTTATAATTCCAGACCCAAGGAGGGTCCTTCCAGACAGCTGCCCATTTCCACCTCAGCCTTCATAGACCAGATCATCTACCTCCCCAGACTGACTCCACTTCAGCTCAAGATGTCAGCTAAAACCTCACTTCCTTCAAGTCTTTGCACCTCCCTGCCAGCTCTCCACCTAACCTCCACCCCCTGCTTCCAACAGCCTGTGCTAGCTGCCTCTCCTCCTCCCCTGCACTCCAGGGCAGCCAGCTCTTATCTGTCATGGAGAGCACCTGAACACCAACTCCTAGGTGTCTGCTTACCTGTCCAGAGGCCCTCTATGGACCACTTCACGTCTGGCATCCCCAGCCCCTCGGGCAGGAGCCAGCACAGTCACTGTGAAATGAATGAGTCTCGACTTACACCACTCCAAGGTCCAGGGCATACAGCAGGAGGGCATTCATGCCCACATTGACGATGTTTGCTGCAATCCCAGTAACAACTTGGGGCATGATGATGCCCTAAAATCCCCAAACAAACAGCAAAATATTAGCATTTTCAAAAGCTGTATTAGCTAGATTGTTAAGTGAACATTCAGAGTTGAATAGGTGACAATGTTAAAGGATGGCAAAGTCACACAGGACTAGAACAGGCGGGAATGGAAACAAGATGTCTCCATTGGTGCAGCTTTGGTTGTGCCAGCCAGATAATCATATGACTTCTGAAGACCCTGGTCAGTCACAGTTGCCTTAAGAGCCGCAGAGAGAGAGGGCAAACAGGCATGATGGATGAAGACAGGCCCTCTGGGAGACACGGGGCCAGGGTGCTAGACTGCTCCATAGGGCTGTCAAGGTGAAGTTCGCATGTGAAGGGCGCCCAGCGATGGGTGCCTGCTTCTGGCAGTGTAAAGAAAACATTCAGCTCTTTGTGTTCTGGTGCCAGTTGCTCATTTCTTTTGTTTATGCTGTCCATTCTACGCTAGTACTCAGATAAACATTTTCTCCTACATTTAAACAGACTTGAGTGCTGTCAGAGCAGAGTGGATTTGTTCTGGCTTCAGTGGACAACACCTTTGTATTTAAAGGCCAGCAGGCTGCTTGCCTGAGGATGGACTGGGAGGAGACTCCAAGGCAAGGCTCTGTCTCTGCCCATCCCCCTCCGGCCCTCAGTCTTCTCTTTCACTTTCCCTTCTGCCTCCTGTACACTGAACCCAGCGGACTCCCACACACTTCCAGGTGTGGCTGCAGTAACACGGGGCCATGGCCCTCTAATCAGAAGCACAGGCCAAATCCCAGGTGTAAAGCTGGCTGCCAGCCCCCAGAAAGCAAGGGTAGGGAGAAATGAGCTGAGCGAGAGGAATCAGACTAAAATGGTTATTGCTCCTGGGCTGTATGATACATAGCTGCAAGGCTTCACAAAGAACTCAGGGGTTTTAGAAAAGAATTATGGGAGGGAAAGGGTATGAATTACTCTTGTAGAAAAGTCCTTTGAAAGAGAAAAAAGTGAAAAGAAAAAATTCCTTTAACGTATTTACTATACATTTTCAGTAGTGTGGGGTACAAATACGAAAAGAATACCTGACTCTGTAAATATCTTGTCTGCAACTGGAACAGGAACGCTGCCTATGAGATTAAATACAAAAGCGTCAGGAGATTTTTCAGTTCTAGTTTTCTATTGTTTTGGCTGCTGGGGATCAAACCCAAGGCCTTGAGCTTGCTAGGCAGGCACTTTACCACTGAGCTACATCCCTTGTCCCATGGGCTCTTTGATATGATATTTTAACAAGACTATTAATAATAAGACTTTAATAAAAAGACTCTCTTAAATAAAATACTTCCTTCTGATTATGTGACCTCAAAATTCACAAAACCAGACCCACCCTAAATAAATGCTAGGACAATCACTATTTGGCATTTTCCAGAGTGGATGGAAGATTTACTCCCCAAAGAACAGACACGGGCAAATTCTCACTGGCTGAGGCAGAGACCACAGCCTTGACATTCTGATTAACGAGCATGCAAAATCAGCCATGGAGCGAGGACTCAAGGAGGAACTCTCTTCCTGCAACGCCTGCATTTAATTGACGCTGTTAGGTATCAGAGCAGTTCACGTCCTGAGGATCAGTAAGGCAGGGGTGGCTTCTGCCTGAGGGCTCAGCTTCTGTACAAGTAGCACTGTGATAAGTGACAAAAGAAGAGGAAGAGGCACAGGCAAGGGGACATGCATGAGTGGCTTCATGCCAGAAACACAACAGCCTTGAACTAGACCAAATGAGGGAGGATATGAGGAGCTAGGGCAGAGATAGAGGCTTATGTGGCCCATGTGGCCTGGGAAAGCAGGATCACTAAGGACTTGTGCCTCAGTCCCTCCTCTCCCGCCAAGTGCAGACTGCTTTGATGAGAACACAGTCCACACTCTTAGAGCTTTAGACACTTGGTAGCTGCCCATGGCCTCTGCTGCACAGGGAAGCTTGACCCTATAGAAGTGGCTTGATACTGACCTCTGGAGTGGCTGCACTGCTGGGACACTGGGCTAGGCTGATATGCATTCAGCTCCAAAGTGGTCATAGTTCTGAGTAGCTGACCACAGGCACACTGGGTGCCAAGTCTCCCAATTGTCAAGTCTGGTCTGATGAGTTGGGTTTTTTGGTGAAAAAGGACTCACTGCCCTCCCACATACCTAGTGAATGCAATTTGGAAATCCTGGAAAGAAGCAAAGTCCCTCTACCCTCCATCTCCTCAATGGGAGTGTTATGAACTCATCACTTGTTCATTCTGATGGTTTGATTGCTGCTTGTATCTTGCTCTATATTTTATTCTTTCTTCATATCTTAACATTATGCTGGAATAAAACTAGAAAACAGTAAAAGATACTGCAGAAAACATACAAATACACGGGACTGAAGAAATCACTATTGAATGATCTGAAAGTCATTGAAGAAATCAAGGGGGAAATTAAAAATGGCAATGAAAATACAGCTTACCAGAATCTATGGAATACAGCAAAGGCAGTTCTAAGAGGGAAGCTTGTAACTATGAAAGCCTATATTAAAAAATCAGAGATTTCTCGAATAAGTAACCTAAAGACCCACGTCAAGGTCTTAGAAAAACCTAAAATCAGTAGAAAAAAAGACAAATAATAAAGATCAGAGATGAAATTAATGAAATGTAAACAAAAAGAGCAATCAATATAAAGGATCAATGGAACAAAGAGTTGGTTCTTTGAAAAGATAAACAATTAGCCAAACTAACCAAAAGAGAAAGAAAACCCAAAAGGAGATATACAACAGATACGCTTGAAATCCAGGATCATGTAAACATACTTTGAAAATTTTTATTCTAATTAGTTTGAAGATCTAGAAGAAATGGATAAATTTCTTGACACATATGACTTATAAAAATTGAATGAAGAAGATACAAACAACTAAACAAATCAATTCTGAGCAATGAGATTGAAGCAGTAATAAAAAGTCTTCCAATAGCAACAGCAAAAGCCCAGGGCTACCTAGATTCATTGCTGAATTCTACCAGACCTTTAAAGAAGAAAACTAACACCAATCCTCCTTAAATTGTTCCATAGAATAAAAAGGGCAGGATTGCTATCAAACTCAATTTACAATGCCAGCGTTACCTGATGACTAAATCAGATAAGGGCATAACAAAAAAGGAAACTATAGGCTAATTTCCTTGATGAACATAAATGTAAAAATCCTCAATAAAATTCTTGCAATCTGAATTCAGCATCACATTAAAAAAGATCATACATCAGGTTGGTGGAGTGGCTCAAGTGGCATAGCACCTGCCTTGCAAGCATTAAGTACTGAGTTCAAACCCTGGTCCCACCAACAACAAAACAAACAAAGCAGTGAGCTTTAGAGATCTGGTCATTGCATGAAAAAGATCATACATCATAATCAAGGTGATTTAATTCCAGGAACACAAAGTTGGTTCAACATACATGAATCAGCACATAAATAAAATCAAAGATAAAAATCACATGATCATCTCAATAGATGAGGAATAAGCCCTAACAAAATTTAACATCCTTCATGATAAAAGCCTTAAGGAAACTATGAATAGAAGGATCAAACCTCAACATAATAAAGCCATATATAAAAATCTACAGCCAACATTACACTCAATGAGGAAAAACTGAAAGCATTTTTTCTGAAATCAAGAACAAGAAAAGAATGTCCACTCTCAACACATTTATTCAACATAGTGCTTGAAACTTCAGCCAGAGCAATAAAGCAAGAAAAGAAATAAGAGGAATGAAAATAAGTAAAGAGGAAGTCAAGTTACCTCCAGTAGCAGATGATATGATCCTGTACTAAAAGACAGCACTAGAAGACTCTTAGATATATAAACACTTTCAGCAAAATAGCAGTATACAAAATCAACATACAAAAATGATTATCTTTCCTGTATGCTAACAACAAACTTACAAAGAAAGAAATCAGGAAGACAATTCCCTACACAATAGCCTCAAAAAAAACCAAAAACCTTAGGAATAAATATAACCAACGATCTGAAAGACCTCCATAATGAAAACTATAAAACACTGAAGAAAGAAGTTGAAGACATTAGAAGGTGGAAAGACTTCTTGTGTTCACAGATTGTTAAAATGGCCACATTGTTGACAGTGATCTTCAATGCAATCCCATCAAAATTCCAATGACATTTTTCCAGAACTAGAAAAAGAACCATCCAACACGCCTCCAAAAAAGTAATTGCCAAAGCAATTCTGAAAAATGCTGGAGGTATCACTACCTGACTTCAAATTATATTACAGAGCCACAATAACAAAAACAACATGGCACTGGCAAAAAACAAAACAAACAAACAAACAAACAAAAAACAGACAGGTAGATCAATGGGATAGAATAGAGGAACCAGAAATAAACCAAAGCAGGTAGTCGTCTGACTATTGACAAAGGGGCCAAAAACAATGCTAGAGGAAAGACAGTGTCTATAACAAGTGGTACTGGGGAACTGGATATCTACCTGAAGGAGACTGAAACTAGATTCCTAGCTCACTCTGTACTAAAATCAATTCAAAATGGGTAAGTGTTTAATGTAGGATCTGAAACTCTGAAACTCTTAGAAGAAACCAGGGGAAAGTGTTCAAGCTGCAGGCATAGGTAATAATTTTCTGAGTAGGATCCAAAGGCCCAAGAAATAATAGTAAGAATTGACAAATGGGATTACATCAAATTACAAAGCTCCTGAACAGCAAAACTAATGATCAACAGCGTGAAGAGACAGCCTACAGAATGGAAGAAAACCTTTGCTAGCTATTCATCTGAGAGGGGATTAATATCCAGCTTTTTAACTCAGAAACCTGAACAACAAAAGAATGAGCAACCCAATCTATAAATGGACAGAAGAAGTGAATAGACACTTTTCAAAAGAGGACATTCAGATGGCCATTAATTCCATGAAAAAATGTCCAACCTCTTTAGCCATCAGGAAAATGCAAATCAAAACTACATTGAGATCCCATTTCATCCCAGTCAGAATGGCTTCCCTCAGAAAACAAAGAACAGCAAATGCTGGTGAGATTGCTGGGGGTAATGTAAATTAGTGCAACCACTTTGGAAATCAGTTTGGAGTTTCCTCAAAAACTTAAAAATAGAACTACCGTATGATCTAGCCATACCATTCCTAGGTACATACTAAAAGGAATTAAAGTCAGCATACAGTAGAGAGACCTGCACAGCCATGTTTACAGCAGCACTATTCACAATAGCCAAATTATGGAAGCAGCTTAAGTGCCCATCAACAAAGGAATGAATGAAGAAAATGTGTCATGTATACACGGTAGAGTGTGACTCATCCAGAAAGAAGAAATGAAATCATGTCATTTGCAGGAAAATGGATTATCATGTTAAGCAAAATAAGAAAGACATAGACAATGACTGCATGTTTTCTCTCATATGTGGAATCTAGAAAGAAAAGAAAATAGAGCTAGATATGAAAATAGAAGGAGACAGTTGGGAAAGAGAAAGGGAACCAGGGATTGGTGGGAGAAGGGATAAAAAGAGGCAGATGGGGTAAATATGATCAAAGCCCATGTATGAAAATGTCTCCATGGAAACCATTACTTTTTATAATTAATATAAACCTCAAAAAATAAAAGTTCAACAGCCTTAAAACTTACAGGAAGAGCAGGAATGAAAATCATCACATAAACTTGGGCCAACCTGAAATAAACAACAAAACAGTCTTCAGTTAGTATTGAGATGATTTCCAGTCATACTGTCTTCAAGTTGAACCCACACAGCATTCCCTAAAACTTAAAACTGAAAGGATTTTACATGGCTGGCAGAATGGCTCAAGTGGTAGAGTGCTGCCTAGCAAGCATGAGGCTCTGAGTTCAAAACCCCATGACATAAAAAGAAAAAAAAGGATTTTATGTGGGAAAAACTGACTCACAACTTTGGTTTTCTAAAACCTACAGCAGCAGCAAGTGAGGTCTGCCTGCCTGTTTCTAAGGGAAAGCCTGGCACCCTTGCCATTTCTATCTCCTTCTCAGTCTAAAAGGTGGAGTGAATCTGTAAAATGAACCCAAACCTGAGCATAATTCAGAAACCTTTTGAAAGCCTCAGGATACCTCACAGTGAGCACATCTTCTAAAAAAGACCACAAACCCTAGGTGCAAAATCAGAGACTATACTGGAAGTTTAAGTTTAAAAAAAGAAAAAAAATTCTAAAAAGTAAAAACAACTGTGTTTTTACTCTTGAAAGGAAGAAATATGGAGGGATGACACAAAAAGGAGACAGGGCCAAGCATGTGCCATCTTGGTCCTCTGGGTCAGGTCCCTGCAGCCCTGGGGCCCACTTCCATTTGCAAGAGGTCAGGTCCAGCTAACCAGCTGAAATTGTCACACAGGGATGATGACAGACTACCATTTACAATTAACCTAGGAGTGTGCTGACCTGGCGACCTCGGGGTCTTGTCTCAAGAGCAGGAGGAGGTGCTCAGTGTTGATGAAGATGGCCCAACAAGGGAAGCAGCACAGCAGCAAGATGAGGACTCCTCGTTGAAGAATGACCCCCACACGCTTCAGGTTCCTGCCTCCAAGGACTTGGGCCAACAGAAAACAAATCACGGTGTATCCTCAGGCCCAGGCCTGGGCCACACACTTCCTGTGGCCCAAGCAGCCACACCTCCCTCCAGGTGGCATAGTGCAGGGGAGCTGCCCCCCAAGGGCAGCTGGTGAGCAAATTGCCACTATGGAGATCTACACATCCTGGAAAATCAGCCCCTGCCTTGGGAACTGGGGCTGTTAGTGTGGAGGGCAGTGGAGCAGAGACTGAAGCCTAAAAGACTCAGAGAGAGAGTGGGGGTGTGGGGGCCCCCGAGGGCTAGGGGAAGAAAGATGTACATGTTACTGAGACAACCATGCTGGTGCTCATTTGATGTTTAATCATGAGAGTCCCAAAAGAGACCTGAAAGAGGCCAGGCCCAGCGGATGAACAGCAACGGAAAAGGAATTACACGGGTTGAGTCCAGATTGGGGGTCAGGACCCAGCATGCAAAGAACACTTTCAAGAAGCTTATGGGGAACTCACACAGGAAGAAGGAAAACAGCCCCTGGGCAGATGAGGCCCAGAGGACAGAAAGCTATTACCAGGCTGAGGGAAGCCACTGGCTTGGACTGAGCTCCTGCACCAGGCCAATGAAACCAAACCAAAATGAAGTCCCTTGTGCTAACTGCCACATCATCAATCTGAAACTTTAAGGAAGCAAACAACATCCCAAACAGACCTGTTCTTGAAAACAATGTAATATGGATGGCCCCTCTGCTTTTACCCATTCAAAAAAAGCAACCTGAAGTTAGCTGGTGTTAAACAGGTGTTCTTTTTGTTTTGTTTTGTTTTTCTCTCTTTTTTGCCTATTACACGGTTTCCTTGTTCTGACCTACAAAACCTACTATTTTCCGTGGCCCGTGGAAGTTCTCATTCTGTTTTGTAGAATGGAGCTGCTCCCAGCCATGAATCATGAATAAAGCCCAGTTAGATCTGTAAGTTTCCTTATCAGCGTTTGGTTTTACTCATAAGAGATAAAAAAAGCAGAGTAGATAGTGCCCTAGGCAGATAATTGTCCCAAGAAGCTATGTGGACGAAGGGGTCCTCACCTGAGACATCAGTGTTCACAAGCAGAGGCTAAGCCAGTTCCAACTGAAATCCCAGTAACATTCACAACCTGCAAGAAACAACAGGTCAGGTGCAGAAAACAGTGTCATCAGGTGGCTTCACATGAAGAAACCTGGACAAGCTTGTCTTTACAGAGCAACTCACAATGGTACACTTAAGGCTCTGTGTATCAGATCAAATGGTGTCCACATCAATCCTTGTTGATTACTGGACAAAAATATACCTTTTATCCAAAGGATCATAATCACCCCATGTCAACTGGAAACACCTAAGACCTAGTTTTTCTTAATACAGTGCATTACAATCTATATTTAAAATTTAAAGACAGGTGCTATGATACATGCCTATAGTTCTAGCTACTCAGGGACACTGAGGCAGGGGGATCATTTGAGCCCAAGGAGTTTGAAGCCAGCCTTGACAACATATCAAGACCTTGCCTTCAACAAATAAAACAATAAATGAAAGTTAAGTTTTGGCTAATGTCCAAAGGTAATTCTCCTGATCAGACAGTACAGTGTGCATTTAAAAACGACAAGAGGCTAGGGGCATGGTTTGGTGGCAGAGCACATGTTTAGCAGGTGTGAGGCTTCAGGTTCAATCCTAGCATCAAAACAAAAAAAGTATCTAAAAAGCTTAAGTGATAAGCAAACATTTATTGAGCACATAAGCTGGGCAGGCAGTGTCCACTCAGCCTGTGTTATGATCACTAGTCCCATTCTGGGGGTAACCTGAGTCAGGTTACATAGATGGAGTGACCTGAAGCTGGAAGGTCTGGCTGTAGACCCCAGGCTTAGTCCCCCTGTGAGAAGCCAGACTCTGTGTGTCACCCTCAACCAGACCTCATCCAGGGCCACCCCCCCACAACCAAAGGTACAAAGTAGCCCACAGGGTGTGGCAGCATGTTGGGGTGCTACTGCATGGCAAAGCAGCAGAAGGGGAAAGTGCCTGAGATGCTTGTTTTCATCTGGTCTTATTTGTAGCAGCAATGTCAACCCCAGGTGAGTTCACTTCTTCCCTTACCAAGACTTGAGCCTGGTGCTATGGCTTATGTATCCTTGAAGTGTGAATCCCAAAGGTTTATGTGCTGCAAGTTTGGTTTCCAGTGTGGTGGTGGTGGTGGACCCTTTAAGAGGTGATTAGGTTATTGGGAGTGCCAATCTTGGAATGGATTAATGCAGTTCTCATAGGACCCTAGTTAGTTCCTTACCTAAAGAGCAAGCCTAGCCTCTGAATCCCTCTTGCTTCCTGTTTCACCGTGGGACTGCTTGCTCCCTCTCAGGCCATGACGCCATCTGCCATGTTGTAACGTAGTTACAAGGCTCTCTCACCAGAGCTAAGCAGAACCTGGTGCATGTTCTTGAACTTCCAGAATTGTGAGCTAAATAAACCTTTTTTAAAAAATAAAATAAACTACTGCCAGGCACAGGTGGCTCACACCTGTAATCCTAGCTACTTGGGAGGCTGAGATCTGAAGGATCGTGGTTTGAGGCCAGCCCAGGCAAATAGTTGAAGAGACACTCCCCCAGAGCAAAATGTACTGGAGGTGTGGCTCAAGTGGTAGAGCACCTGCTTTGTAAGTACGAAGTCCTGAAATCCCAGTCCCACAAAAAATATAGAAGTACCCAGCCTCCAGTATTTTGTGACATCAACAATGGATTAAGACACCTGGTAACCTGAAACTCTAGCCCCCAGAAGACCAGTAACGGACTACACATGGAGTGCCCAGCAGTTACACCACAAGGCCAAGGCCCGATCTTAATGAGACCCAGAAGTCTTACGGCACCATGAAGACCAGAATGACCTCATGCACTCAGTTAACCCAGAAACACCTCAGCCTTCAAAGAAAAGGGAAAGGGAAAGTACTTCTATTTCTGAAAAAAAAAATTTTTAATTACATGTGAGAGTGTTTTTGGTTTTGTTTTGCAAAACTGACTGACTGACTTTGGATGGTCCGGAATGTTAGTCTTCCTCCGCAGCTCTGTTGTCATAAGCTTTTACCAAACTGAGCTGACATTCAGGGACGAACCAGTGATCCTCCCTCTTACCATGGACAACTTTATAATAAAAGATGAGACAAAAATTGCTACTGTGAGCCTGGAGAGAAGGCTGAGGCAGGAGGATCACCGGTGCAAGGCCAGCCTGGGCTAAATAGTGAGACCCTGTCTCAAAAAACAAAAACAAAATAAACAAAACATCCTGGTACTGTGTCTCTCACAGCAAGTTGTCCACCACACACTCCTGTGTCCACAGTGTGAGAATCTGCCACAGAAATCACTCTATGCCTAAAGATTGTTTGGCCCCTGGATAGATGGTTCAGCAACCCCGGGGTGCACTGAAAATCACCCAGGCATGGAACATAGAGTGGAACTTCAGCCTGCCTGGTGGTGGCCTGACCCCTGCTTCAGTGTCTCCCTATCCATGGTCATTTGGCCCAATTCTACCAGTAAGTGAACACATTATGTAAATCAGCCTAAAGTCTTTGTGCAACCAAGTGGAATAAACAAATAGTCTTCCACTTTAAAAAAAAAAAGTCTAAATCCTTTCATATTATATAGAATTTGTAATAAGATCAAGATATTAATTAATTAGTTTTTGCAGTGCTGGCGATTGACCCCAGAGCCTCACCCATGCTGTCCAAGTACTGTACTGAGCTACATGTACCCTGGACAAAAAAAAAACTTTTTTTTTTTTGGCAGTACTGGGATTTGAACTCAGGGACTTTGAACTGAGGGACTTGAATTTGCTGGGCAGGCGCTCTACCACTTGAGCCACATCTCCAGCTAAAAATCTTTCAAATGGCCAGGTGAGGTGGTACATATCTGTACCGCCACTTGGTACACCACTGTCCAGCACTTGGGAAACTGAGGCAGAAGGCTCACAAGTTCAAGGGCAGCCTAGGCAACATAGCAAAATTCTTTCTCAAAAAAATTTAAAAAATGAAATGTAGCTGGCTCTCATGTAATTGAGTCTATTGTCTCCCCAGCAGTTGGTTACAATTTAACAGTTGATTAAAAGCAAAGTCTCACCATCCACTTGTCAAGGTCTGACAGCAAAGCTCCCTAGCCAGGATCTCATCAGCAGACAAAACACAAGATGCCCAAATAACAGCTGGCTTGGATGCAGAACACCTGAGCTATGCGTCTTTGAAATATTTGGTTGAGTCAGATCTGTGCTGAGAACCAAGTTCGGCAAAAATTAATATGAATTTGTGCATCACCAAGAGAGACACACAAAGACAGGTTATATCAGCACAAAGTGGCCACTGGGCACAGGGGATCAAGGAGGGGGTGGTTTGTGTGCGGGGAGTCTCTGGCCTCAGGAGGCAGGAAGAATGAAGACTGCCCAGAAGTAGAGGAAGAACAAGAGAAAGGGGAGGATAATAAGGAATATGGGAAATGAAGTTAGCAGGGCTTTCGGATGGATGGAGATTGGGGATATAGAAACCAAAAGAGGGGGACTGGGAATATAGCTCAGGGGTAGAGCACAAGAGCAAGGCCTGGGTTCAACTCCCAGCACCACAAACAAATAAAAAAGATGCGTGTGATGCACAGGAAAGCAATGTGAGTCAACTCCCTGTATAGCTATCCTTATCTCAACTAGCAAAAACCCTTGTTCCTTCCTATTATTGCTTATACTCTCTCTTCAACAAAATTAGAGATAAGGGCAAAATAGTTTCTGCCAGGTAGGGAGGGGTTGGGGGGAGAGGGAGGGGGTGGGGAAGGGAAGAGAAATGACCCAAACATTGTATGCACATATGAATAAAAGAAAAAATAAATTAAAAAACGAGATGCGTGTGTAGGATTCCAGAGACTAGCTTCAAGCTCTGTGGTTGAAGGAGTCCCTGCATCCTGCCAGCAGTCACCTGAACCTGAAGCCCAGATCATGAAAGCAGACACTGATCTGGGAGGCCCTAATAGGTAGTGGACATTTTAGGAGGGGCAGTAGTGAGGTTTGAACTCAAAACTTGATGCTTTGCTAGGCAGGCACTCTACCTAGCACCAGCCACGACACTAGCCGCGACACCAGCCCTAAAAAAGCAAAAGCTCTGGTCAGTTTTGAGATAGGGTCTCGCTGTTTGCCTGCCTGGCCTTGAACCACAATCCTCCTGCTCAGCCTTCCAAGTAGTGAGGATTACAGTTGTGAGCCACCAGTGCCCAGCTTAAATAGTGTCCATTTAAAACAGAAAGGGGGAAGGAAGGAAGAGAAAGAGAGATGCACCTATTACTTCTGCCACAGGAGAGTGCAGGAGGACAAGAAGAAATGTCGTGTCAGATGCCAGGGGACATGGCCCACAGGTGAGGGTAAGTTCTCTGGTCACAGTAAAGGGGCAGGGTGGGGAGGTATCACTGTTGTCAGAGCAGGTTCAGTGGAGAAGTTTCAAGATGAAACAGGACTGTGATGGAAGAAAAGGAAATGGGGTGCACTGCCCACTCTGGCAAAGAGAAAAGGTCGAGGGAAGCCAGAGAGGAGGCTGCGCGTGGAGGTGAGGGGTGGACAGGGAGGTTTTTGTAGAATAAGAGGCACTTGATAGGTTTGTCATTATGGAGTGGGAATACATAAAGGGAAAGAGTTGGAGGAGAAAGGAAGGTTCCAGTGGAAGAAGGGTATTGAAAGGAAGGGGTATTAAAAGATCTGGGGTGTGTGGAAACAGGGGAGTTCAAACTGCCTGTTTGGCCCAAGGTGCCAGGCAGGGGACAGGCGGGGGTCACAGGAATGAGGGAAGATGGAGGAATCCTGACAAGGACTCTATGAGGTCAAGGAAAGACAGGGTTGTTGTGGGGGCCTGGCAGGATCCCAGGGAGAAAGGGTTGAGAAAAAACCAAAAAAGTAAAGTTGAAAATTTCTCTAGTGGGTCCATGCTGATGGATGAAAATGTACGGATGAGGGGCTGAAGTGGACAAGGGGCCTGGAAGTCAGTGAGGTAGATGGAGGGAGGTCGAGCCACAACTCCAAGGATGACTGCAGAGCCTCAGAGCTGAGGTTGGTGACTGATCACCAGATGTCATCAATAGGGAAGGGCTGCCCAGAAATGAGCCCTGGGGGTACCAGCTGGGAAGCAGGGCTAGGAAAACAGCAGGCCTCAACCCTGACCTCAGATGGTCCCCTGTTAATGTCTGTTCACATCCTGATAAAGAAACCCAGGGGAAAGATCTGAAGGCAAGCTCCCTCCCAGAGCTGGCCCGGTTTCATAGATGTGCTAGTGTGGTATGCTGTAACCTTGTGGTAGTGTGATAAGTTGTGACCTTGTGTAGTAGGACAGGTTGTAACCTCCCAGCGAGAGTCTAACTGCCATGTCTGCTTTTGTCCTTCCCACTTGCTTGCTTCCCAATTCTGAGGCATAAAAACCCTGCAGCCATTTTGGATTGTTGTTATTACTAGCGTAATAAATCTTCCTTTCCTCCAACCACATGGGTTTCAGTCTTGCTCTCGCTGGTCCGACATTCTTCCCACAACAATCCCACAAGGACCAGGAAGCATCATGGGCCAGGCCCCACTGCCCCATGCCAGACAGAGGCTAAGCTTGTCTTTCCTGGAGGGGACACAGGGACAGCTCCTCTTCCTTCTTGACTTTCTAGAGGACCAACCTAAACTTCCAAAGGAAGTAACACAGTAACAGGTCCATAAGTAAAATAGGATTCCACATAGCCAGGACTCCTCTACCATAAGGCTGAGTGAGGAACTTCTGTGGTCATAGGGTGCATCCCCACCTTGGAGGGGGACAGAGGGACATTTTCTGAGACTGGGGAAAAACACCTGCCATCACCAGGAGTCTTTTTCACCTTGATTGAAAGCTGGATCAAACATGAGAGAAGTGACTTTCCACTATGTCACTCATAAAGACTAGAAAGACTTCAAAGGAGGTGTAATTTCAACCCGCCCGAGAAGGGAAACACTGTACAAGGGTGAAACAGTCCGACCTTAACAAACTGTGCAACTCAACTCATGGCTTTGTCTGTTTGATTTCATACTAGAAAAATACATGCAGTTCTTTTCGGTTTAGTTGCTATGCACACTGCATCTACACTCCTCACAAGACCTGGTGCCCTATAATGAGAGCCCTGCTCAGAACACTGTCTAAGAAGTTGCCAGGCTCTCCTTTCAAATCTAAGGATCAGGTAACGGTACCCGGGGGACCCAGAGCCTATAACGGAAGCCACGGATGACACAATTCAGATTCTGAGGCTTGGGGCTGGAGCTGCAGCTCAGCAGTTGATCCCTTGCCTGGCACATGCAGGGCCCTGGGCTCATCTCCCGCAGCCCCCAAATAAAAAGTAAACGAATGAAAGTTCTGAGGCTTTACCATGTCATTAGCTCAAAAGAAAAGGTAAGACTAACACACCTACCGAGACAGCAAGCGTCACAGCATCCAGCTCCACTTTGCCCAGGTGTCCGCAGAATATAGAGCTGACGATGCTAATGAGGAAGATCATCAGCTGAGCAAGGAACTGCGCGGGAACAGTGAAGGAAGCGGGGTCACCCCACGGACCCCTCCAACCCCCGCGATGAGGACGCGATGGCGGGGAGGGAGCGGGGCGCACGGAGAAGGATCTTGGGGAGCCGGGGCACTCACCACGGGGCCCGCGAGCGCCACCAGCGCGGCCGCCTCCTGCCGCACGTCGGGGGACAGCGCACCCCGCAGGCCGCCGCGCCTCCCGGGGGCGTCCAGCCGCTCGGGGGGCGGGTCGGAGGCTGCCGCGCCCTGGCTGTCCGCGGCGACAGCCAGGGGCTCGGCGTCGGCGGCGGCGGGGGGCTCCATGCCGGCGCGGGAAGGGGCTCCGAGCTGCCCGGTGGGGCGAGAGTGCGGGAGGCTGCGGCGAAGGCGGCCGGCCCCGCCCCGCCTCCCCCCGCGCCGGGCGCCTGGTCCAACTGTCACCGCCCGCGGAACCCGGGGGAGGGGGCCAGGCAGGGTGCTGGGGTCCCGGCATGGGTAGCGCTGGGGGTGTGTGTGGCGGGGGAGCCCCGTGCGGGACACCGACGGCTCAGGGATGGAGCGAATTTTTACAAAGAGACTCCGTTGGTTGCAAAAGCAAAATGTTCCAGGTAGACTTAGTCATTGTCACCCTCCACACCCGCAGAGCACTCTCCACTGGCTTCGCTTGACCGCGAATCCAGCCTCCCCTCTCCTCCGCCCCCGCCCCGCACACACACACCCGCCCCCCCGACTCCTTTCTGGGTTCTGCAGCCTCCACTTCTGCAATTGTTTGAGGGTCGCAGGAGGAACCCCGCATCTCCAGGGCGTGGCAGGAAGTGTGAGGACTAGGGATGGCCTGCGGGCAGGAGAATGGAGGGCTTCCAAAGAACTGGGAAAGGGAGGGGAGCTCTGGGCTGCCTCAGACCCCCAGGTCCCACCTGGAGGGCCACATTCAGTGCTTAATCTGGGTCCCTGGAGAAGGAGTATCAATTTATGGACTCAAAAAGAATGAAGCCCTGAGGGTGGAGATGCCCCATGGTGGCCCCAGCCAAATCAGCACTTGCACAGCTGGGGTGCAGCTCAGAGTGGAGTCCTTACCTAGCAGGTGGGGAGCCCTGCGTTCCATCCCCAGCAACCAAGAGGTGGGTGTTTTTCTCATAATAGCTAACTTTCTGATTTTGTTCATTATCTGCTCTTTCAGGCAAAAGCAAGACCTAGTCAAGTAACCATTCTAGCACTGAACCCACTAAGTTATACCACAGTTTAGTGAATTAGCAGTGTGTGCTTAATTAACCCTGCTAAGGGCTGCAAGAAGGAGAGTTACCACTCGATCTGCTGTCTGTATTAAAGCATTGTCCTCTGAAGCCACCAGGAATGGTCATTCTTGTTTGGATTTTCATAGCTTCAAAGACTTCCCCCAACTGTGCACCCAAAGTGCCTGAGATCTGGACCCCGAACGAAGAGTAACAAATGCCAGTTTGCCCGTTGAATAATAATCCAGGACACAGGAAAAATATATTGTAACATGTATTTTAAATAACTCACATAGTAAGATTCTAAAGCATTTCATATATGGGTTTGTGTCTTAAAACACAGTAGATAGAAGAAACATGAAAGCCATCAATGAATGTGGTCAGTACTTGTGGTTCTTGGTTGAGATAGTGGTAGGTGAATGACCACTCCAGCATCATCTTTCAGACAATGTCTTGGACCAGATGTCTACCTTACTCCCTTTCCTCTATTATAAAACTGTATCTTTGAATTTTCAATTCTTAAAACTCTTGGGTACCACTGAATTAACTGAAAATAAACTGCCACTGCTGGTCCTATGAGTTATAAGTCCAAAAGTACAGTGGTCCTCAACTTACAATGGCTCAACTTTATGATTGTGTAAAAGTGAGATGCATTTAGTAGAAACTACTTTGAATTTTGAATTTGGAGCCTTCCTCATCCTGTCTTGAAATGCAGGGCAGCAGCAGTGAGCCACAGCTGCCATCAGCACTGCAATCATGAGGGGAACAACATTTTAAGGTACTGTGTTGTTAATGCTGATGTTTGGTAGGTTAGTTGTGGTAAATGAACTGTGGACTTACAATTATTTCCTTTCCTACCTCTCTCCCTTCCTCCCTTTCTTTGTTTCTTTTTTTCTTGTTGTGGTAGGAATTGAACCCATGGCCCCCACCATATTATACATGCCCTTTACCACTGAGCTACAATCGCAGCCTGACTTAAGATATTTTTAACATATGATGGGTTTGTCAAGGAGCATCTGTATCACTTGACCTTCCTTTCTCTCTCTTGCCACGTCACGGAATTCTGACATATATTCTCACTAAAATCCCTGCCACCAAGACTAAAACAAGCCCCAGAAGCAGGAGCCCTCGTCGGAGCACCAGCTGCTTCCTAGACAAAATATTGCTCTCTTTTGGATGGATAGGCAAAGGTTGTTGCTGGTGCACCTGTTGATCCAAATGAGTCTCATCCTTTGTGCCAATATCTCTCATTAAAATTTCTCCATGGTTCTCAGGACCCACTGTGGGAGAAAAATAAACTTTGGTTAGCAGCTTGAAAGGAATTTTTTTCCTACTGTGTATATAAAAGGTGATAGATACATGTACTAATTGCTGGTAGAAAGTAGTTGTACCACTTCCTCCCATCCAAGTACTAACCAGGCCCGACCCTGCTTAGCTTCCGAGATCAGACGAGATCGGGCGCGTTCAGGGTAGTATGGCCGTAGACAGCACTTCCTGAATAAATTAATCGGATTGTTAGCTACTAGGCAAGAACCTTTAGGTCAAGTTCCTCTACTTGCTAGTGGGAGGGGCTACTGTCCCTTTAAATGACTGTTAACTTTCCTTCAAGTTTTTTGTTTCTTTTTTTATTGTTGTTTCAGATTAAGGCCTGCCAGAGGAAAACCACAAAGAACCAAAATCCCTAAGGCAGGCTGAATCAGTCTTCTAGATGACCTATAGTGAACTTTACTCATTATAATTTCATTATAATTGTAAATTCTCCATCCGAAAGGCCTTTCTGTCCATTTTTGAACATGCAAAGCATGATCTCCAACTGGGCATGCTCAGGAATGCGTCAGCCTCCACATGGAGATAAGTCTCCAATATGTGGACGTGCAAGTTTCCCCAACAAAATCCTCTTGCTTTGGGAGTTCTCCCCAGTGCACCTTACTTGTACAAGCACTGAGCCTCTCCTCACTCTTTATGTCCTGCTTGTTAGTATTTGTGCTTGCCAAAAAGCAAATCCATTGCATTTGGTATGATATCTTAGAATGCCTTTCCACTTACTCCTCATGAACCACTCTTGTCAGCCTGGGGTTCCAGGGAGCTCTGAGTCTGAGATTCATAGGGGAACTTTTCAAGGTGCCAACACCCATCTAATAAGCACTTCAGAAAGAGACCAAAGCAAATGGAGCAGGAAATAAACTAAGAAACAGTTGGAGGCTATTCACAGAACTGAAGAAAGATGGGGATCTTCACACCCAAGGGCCTATTAAGTACCAAACAGGATAATGTGTCACACCTAGACTGTATCATGACACTTTGCAGTAAAAAGAATACCAACAGGAAAAGACTAAAAACTTCCCAAAAGAAAAAGAAAGGCATATTACCAACAACACATGAATAAGATTGGTACCAGACTTCTTAATAAGCACAAGTGGATACAAGTTGACTACACCTTATCTGAAAAGCTTGGGACCAGAACCAGAGCATTTAAGATTTCAGACTTTTGGGAACTTCAGAGAATTTCAGATTGGGGATGCTCGCCCTACATTAGGACTGCTAAAAATGCTCTCAGAGTTCTGACAAAATAATTTTGAATATAATAATACCAGTTCACATCTACAAAATGCTTAGTCTGTGTTTGGTAGTTCTCAACACTCAATCCTTACAACCATTGGTCAAGGTAAGGGCCATCAGTAACTCAATTTTACAAAGGAGGGAAAAATTGGGCCAACTCTTCCCTTTAAGATAATTATAAAATCTGGATAAAACAAAAAAGATCATTTTGAAAGTGTCAGTGAGCTAACAGTGTAATAAAGAGTTATCATAGCAAGATCACAAGAAAGTCAGAAAGCCAGAAGGTGAACCCAGCCTTTGGGGCTCGGAGACTGAGCAGTACCTAGCAAAAACAGGCCTTGGTAAACCTCTTGGTGCTTAGCTTGGATCCCTGAAAGGCTGCATCCAAGAATTAAGGATAATCCAGAAATAAGTCAGCCTTATACTGGTTTCCTCTCATTTAAGATCAGCTGGGTGGTCCAGAAACCTTAATTTCTGAAATTTCCCTAGATTGCTTGTGAAACCTCAGTGTCAGATAAAAGCAAAAGAACATTTTATCTGAAGATAGACAACTTTGTTTTAGACCTCAAATGGCTTCTAAAGTAATGTTCAAATATAAAGTCTGGAACATAATTAAACATAACCAGACACACAGGAGTCTAGACTACGTGAATGAAAACTGAGGAAAAACAGAATTGGCCACTGCTGAATGTTCAACCATCCAGGAAGTCCAACGTGTTTACAATATAAAGGAGTACTTGGACTAAGGACACATAACCCCAAAATGTGACTATAGGAGACCAAAATATGCCACCCAAATGTAGTCTTCTTTGGCATGTTCAAGCTGGTTCGTCTATGAAACTGCAGACAGTAATTTTGAAAAGCTTTTTGTAAAACACATTTACACCTATGAAGGAAATTTATATTAGTATTCAATATAAACTAAGAAACAAGTTTTAAGAACTAAGTTTTTTGGTTTGTTTTGTTTTTTGGTGGTGCCGGGGTTGGCCTTGGCAGGCACTGTGCCACTTGAGTCACTCCGCCAGCCCAGAAATCTGTATTAGCAAATGCATCTGTCTCAGGGAAATGGCAGTTCCTGACAACTTCTACTGTCTGCATAACAAGACCATTTTATTCACCATGCATGTCCTTCTCTCATGCTCCCATAACTTGTGTAGCTACCCCCCTCAGAGGCCCCATATCCCTCTTCCTTCCTGTCACTCAGGATGCTATCTATCTATGCAGGCTTCAACCATCTGACCTTTTTTCAAGACTCCTGTTTTGTGGGATTCCCATGCCTATGGCTGTAATTAAATTCTGGTTTTCTCCTGTTACTATGTTATGTCTATTTAATTCCACAGAGTTAAGCTACAGAATGTAAGAGGGTGGAAGATAGCCATTTTTACCTCCCCTAAAGGAACAAAGGATTAATATGACTAACTTCCCAAGGAACTGGGAATGTGGCAGAATTATTAAATTTATAAAAAACCAAACAAACCCATAACCACATTTGCATGATGTTCATCAGAAACAATGGTCCACAAAATAATCTGCTTAAAGCAGGTGATGCCTGAGGAATACCAGGGACCCCATTAAGCAAACAGGCAAATGTCACTTTCTGAGATATGTTCCCTGCACAGATTAGTCAAGTTTTAGAAGAGTCTGTAGCCCAACACAGAGAAATGACAAATGTCTGAGGAGATGGGGTGCCTGATCTCAACTGATCATTACACATTTGTATTCATGTATTGAAATGTCACACCATACCCCATAAATATGCACAATTATTATATGACAATTAAAATTGTGAAACACATTTATACCTGTAGAACGCTTACAGAAGTACTACAACTTAGCAGAGGAATTAGGGAACCTTTAATCATCTATAACAATATGTTAAGGTGTGAAATTGAAACCAAAAAAACTAAGTTACCTCAAAGTAGGTGTGATGACTTTAGCATCTGTTTCTGAGACATTAGTTCTCTCTTTCAATGGGAGCCCACAAATGGTCCCTCCAGTCCTGCCTACATAGGCCTGTCCCAGAGCTGGGAGTGTTACCGCATACCTGGCTGAGCAGGATCCTGACAGACGGCAGAATTCCCATTCACAGCCATATTTACCTTCAAATTAGCATTCACTTGAGCCTAGAAAGTGAAATTCAAAGTCAGCCCACAGTCATTAAACAGTGGAAAAGACATTTCTCTTGATCGACCAATTTAGGAAAAGCCATGTTCCTACTGAACGTTCAAGTTGAAGGATTCCCTATGGAATTCTCCTTCAAAAAGACTGATGGGGTAGGAGAAGGCTGGATGTAAACAGTACAATGCAGGGAGGGGATAGACCAAGGTTGTTTAGAATTCGCCCTTCACCTTTTTATTGCAGCCAGCAACCTTTCCTACCTTCTATTTCCAGACCTTATAGTAACCCGGGAACGTCTTATCTTAGAGAAGTATTTCGGATGAACTATGAGCATGAACTTGGAGAAGTTCTCTCCATCCCATATTGGAGCCTGTTTTCTACAAAAGGAACATCTGGCGGACAGCAATGAGTATAGCTACCTGTTGACAGGCGTGTTTCCAGTTGAGCCGAGCAATGAAAGCTAGAAAGCACACAGCCTGAGAGATGATGCAGATCACCATTCCTGACCACAGACCTGAACATGGAGACATTTAACCTGTTAGCTCAGGGGAAACAAAGCCATCCTGAGGAGGCAGTGTCTCCTCTCACCTCCCTGAACCATCCTGAGAACCTGCTTCCATGGCGGAGGTAGAGCCTACAGTGGGCTAAAGACCTCTACCCAGCTCTCTCCAGAAGGTTCCAGAAGGCCTGGCATTCCTGGAGCCACTTCCTCTGATTCAGGATGTCAAAGCAAAGGTCTAGGAGGCTATTTTGGTCTTTTTTATTCGAATGCTTGGACATTAAGATATTAATGCCAGTTATAAGGAAATAAAATTTCCTAGGATGAAAACTATTTCTGCTGTATGTTCTACAAAAGAGGTGACTATTGGGCTTTTGATTGTTTTGAGACAGGGTCTCCCAGGCTGCCTTCCATTCTCGATCCTCTTGCCTCTGTGTCCTGAATGCTGGGATTACAGAGGTGCTCTACCACACCTCAGTGGTTTTGTGCTGTTTTTTAATGGTACTGGGGTTTGAACTCAGGGCCTCACCCTTGCTAGGCAGGTACTCAAGTACTGAGCCACTCCACCAGTCTTCTTTTGTGTTGAGTATTTTTGAGATAGGGTCTTGAGAACTATTTGTCTGGGCTGGCTTTAAACCACTGTTCTCCTGATCTTTGCCTCCCAAGTAGCTAGCATTACAGAGGTGAGCCACCAGTGCCGGGCTCTGTTTTTTTTTAAGCAGAAATCATCCTGGCCAATAGGTCAATTAAAATACTTAATTTTTAGTTTAGATGTTTCTTTAGAGGCCTTTGATTTGGAAATTAAATGTTTGGAATGTTTGTCAATGATAGCTGTATTAAAATGGAAAACAAATCCTTTAAAAAATCCCTAAGCTTTATATGTGTTAGATTTCTGAAAGGGAAAACAGCATTTATTTATTTTTCCTTGGGCTGGAGATGGAAACCAGGGCCTCACATGTTCTCAGCATGGACTCCTTCACGGAGCTACGCCTCTAGCTGAGAAGGCTTTTTAGAAATCAACATTTATGTTCTAGAATTATGCTTGTAAAAATTGATCCCATTTTACACTGATATTAAAAGATTTTTACAATGAAAAATAAAATTTAGAAAGCAGAAATCACCACCCATAAAACATAATAGTGCTCCCTCTCCCAGTGATTCCTGCTGGATTCTTCAAAAGGCCTAACTCACAAAGGAAGCTCCCAGGGCAGTGTTAAACCCTAGAGAAGGTTCAAGAACACAGAGGAGAGACTGAGGGGAAATGGGGAATGGAAAAGCCTTGTAGATCTCAAAGTACCATTCAGATTCCACCTAACAAACTTACACGAGGCCCTGAGAGAGACCTCAATGATGAGGGTTTTGTCATCAGTGAACTAGTGGTGTAATTAAACAGCTCTAAGACAGCTGTGAGAAACTGAGTGTACAAATGGACGATGGCCAGGTCCTCTATAAAACCAGAACCCTGACCAACCCCTGTAGCAAGCAGACCAGGAAACTAGTCCCTTTTGCACAAAAGACAGCTCAGGAAGCCAGCCCAGCCTGCTAGAAATCAGACTTGCGGGAAGCCAGACTGACATCTCTAGTGACAACCCAGGAAGCTGAACAGTAACTTCTCTACCAATTAGCCAGGATTTGGTTAATAATTGACAGTCTCTCCAGGCATGATAGCTCACGCCTGTAATCCTAGCAACTCAGGTGGCAGAGATCAGGAGGATCAAAGTTCAGAGCCAGTCAGACAAATAGTTCATGAGGCCCTATCTCAAAACAACTCATTAAAAAGAGCTGGTGGATTGGCTCAAGGTATAGGCCCTAAGTTCAAAGCCCAGTACCACAATACACAAATAAATAAGTAAATAAATGAGTGACAGTCTCTCTGTCTACTTATGGTCCCCACTTGCAACTTATGACAGAGTCAAATACATACCCTTAACCAACCACATGGAGGCCCCGTGCCTACTCAGCCATCTTCAGCCGGAGCACACCTGAGTGGTCACTTTTCCAAGTGGCTGACTCCCTTGTGTAGCAGGCTCTGAATACATAGTCTTTGCTTTTCTCCTTTGCTTGGTGAACTTACCTTTTTCTTTCTTTTTTTTTTTTTTTTTTTGGCAGCATTAGTGTTTGAACTCAGCACTAGGATTTGAACTTGCTAGGCAGGTACTCTACCACTTGAGCCATTCCACCAGCCCTCTCCTTTGCTCAGTCTCGGTTTTATTGCCACAGTTGTCCAGACCATGTAAGGACTGAGGTCATGGTTTACAGGCGTGGGCAGGCAGACTCTACATGAGGCTTACAGCTCTACTGTTTGGTTCCACTCACCCTCACGTCACATTTTCAGGTGAGATCAGCCTGCTCTATGATAGCAAAGTCAGTGGCCACCTGCTGGTCTCATAACGAATTAGTAAAGCAAGCCACTGGCTTCCTCTTTCAAATCCAGAGTTCCCAGTGCATAGAAACCAATCATCGTTGACAGGAAATAACCAGCTATAATTTGAAAGTTATCAACTTGATTTCCAATAATTTCACAATATCTATTAAACAATTTCTGTCTGACTCAAACCCGGGAATCCACAACAGGATGATTATCAGCAGTCTTTGTACAGGGCCAAGAAATGTGCGCATTTGAAGGGCTCCCAGGAAGTTCTGGTGACTGTTTTGATTTGTGGGGTTCCTATGAGAACGTGCACATTCTGATGCCCTTCGAGCACCTCGCACAGTACACTGCGTGTCCTATGACATTATGCTTTTTTCCTAAGAGGCAAGTGGAAGGAGTCTCACAGAACACTCCCCTCCTCAGGGCCCCCAATATATTCTCACGGGAATTCTCAGTTCCCTGTACGTATCTGTTAAGTGAATAAGTGGATCAAGTAGATGGATCTGTATCTTAAAGTCGATCCCTCTTCTAAAAGTTGAACCCACAGAAATAAAGAATAGAATGGTGGTTACCAGAGGTTGGGGTGACCTGTGGGAGTGGAAAGGGAGGGAATGGGGAGGTTTTGGTCAAAGGGTACAAAATTTGGGGAGCTGGGGGGGGTATCGCTCAGCAATAGAGTGATTGCCTAGCATGCATGAGGCCCCGGCTTCAATTACCAACACAGCAAAAAAAACAAAAAACAAGAAATAAAGAGAGGATACAAAGTTTTACAGAGACATGAGGAATAAGTTTTGAGACCTATTGCACAGCAGAGTGACTACAGTCAACAATAATGCATTGTATATTCCAAATTAAGAAGAAGCTGGGTGCTGGTGGCTCACACCTGTAATCCTACTTACTCAAGAGGCAGAGATCAGGAGGATCGAGGTTCAAGGCCAGCCCAGGGAAATAGTTTGCAAGATCCTATCTCAAAAAATACCCAACCAAAAAGTGCTGGTAGAGTAACTGCCTAGCAAGCATTGGGCCTTGAGTTCAAACCCCAGTACTGCCAAAAAAAAAAAAAAAGAGTAAATTCCAAACATGATAATGTAAACAAAGTGATGGATATATTAACTGCCCTGATCTAATCATTCCACATTGTATGCATACTTCAAAACATCACCTTGGCTGTGTATGGTGGTACATGCTTGTAATCCCAGCACTTGGGAGGTTGAGGCAGGAGGATTGCAAGTTTGAGGCCAGCCTGAGCTACACAATGAAACCCTGTCTCAAAAAAACCCACAAAAAAAAAAAGGAAAAAGAAAAACCCTTGTGCCCCATTAATGTACACGATTATGATTTGTCAGTTAAAAACAATATTAGTAAGGCCAGGTGTGGTGGTGCATACCTGTAATACCAGCTACTTGGGAGGCCGTAGGTAGCCGGAGTGTGGTCTAAGGCCCGCCATAGTGTGGGACCTATTCAAAATATAACTAAAACAGGGCTGGGAGTGTAATGCAAGTGGCAGAATTACACTAGCAAGCACAAGGCCCAAACTCCAGCACCCCCCCAAAAAAAGTATTAATAAAAAATACAATATAAAAGACTATAAAGGATCTCCTTAGTATATGATACTGACTGCACATTACAGTGATAATATTTGAGATATATTGTGTTAAATAAAAATACATCACTAAAAAAACAGATTCCTATGTATTTCCATTGGCTATGTCACGACAAATCCAAGATATGAATGATGCAGAAATTCAGCTCAATACTTTCCTGTACCCTCTGGAAATTCCATCCTTTGAACACCTCCCATATTTTTAGTTAAAATATTATTGAACTTGGGAAAAGGGAGCAACACAATGAAACGCGGTGGACTGTCGGTATATCAGGTGACTTCTCACCACCTCCGAGCCCACTCCACACTGATGGACTCACGCCAGCTACGCCTAAGTCAGCCGCTACCTCACCCCAAAAACAACGTTTAGGTTTTCATGTAATCATTTCTTCTCTGCCAGTGTATTCCCAATTATTATTTTAGAAACCAAAGCTGGGCAGTCATTTATTTCCCTACTTTTTAAAAAGATTAACTCTGGTAATTTCAGATGCTGTGGATTCAGTTCCTTCCTCCAAATACAGGCGGGCGATTAAAGAGGCACCCACCCCACCTTCATCCCACCCATGCCCTTGTGGGGAAACCCACGAGTCACACAGATGGCATTCCTGCACGTGGGAGGTGGAGGCTGAAGAAGGGGACAAGAGGGACAAGGAGAGGGCCAGGCAGTCTTGTCCTCGAGTGACACACCTGGTGTGTGTGTGTGTGTGTGTGTGTGTGTGTGTGTTGGACACTGTTCTAGAACATTCTGTGTCTAGCCACCATGTGTGCTTCCCTGGGGCTTCTTCAGACTCCAGGATGGCCAGCAGAGAATGGTCTCATCCTGGAGTCTCACTCTCACCGTCTCATCGTACAATGGACTGTCTCTGAAGGACCAAACAAGCTCTATAAAAGAGACATTTCCAAATGCTTCAGGGCTCCCTGCTGTCATGTCCTTTGAAGAACTGGGTGACTTGAGGCAAGGGAGGAGTAGAAAGAGTATTTTGTTGTGTTCAAGTGATTGGAAGATGGCCTGCTTGGCCAACGGGGGCAAGACCATGCAGTTTTGGGTGCCTGGACAGAGCTGGAAGCCACCTCGCATCCTCCACTGCTTCCTCTCCGTGTGTGTGTGTGTGTGTGTGTGTGTGTGTGTGTGTGAGAGAGAGAGAGAGAGAGAGAGAGAGAGAGAGTGTGTGAGTGTGTGTGTGTAAACATCCAGGGTTCCAGGGTGGAGTTTCAGTGGGCTCACCGATCACGCCAAGCTTGGTGGCAAACATGAGCGCGATCCCGATGGGGAGGCCAATCACGTAGTACCCAATGGCATTAAAGATGGCTCCAACCTTCTGGTTTCCAGTGCCCCGCAGAATGCCGCCGCTCGCACACTGTGAGCAGGTAACAGCCATTGTTGTGAACATCGCTGGAGCTTCGAAAGACCCCCTCGGACTTAAACATCTGTCACTCTGTGACAACATTCTGCAGAAGTGACCACAATAACACCACTATACAGTACTTCCTACCCCGGCCCCTCTTCCCAGTTGAAATTTCCATCATCAGAAGAAATACATAACGTAGACCAAGAAAGAGCTTTTACTCACAGCAAGCCCTTCAAAGAGGTGGGACACAGCATAAATGGGGACCACCTGAGCCACCAGAGCGATGATGTCTCTGTCAGGAAAGCACAGCACATGGTGATTAGTAGGAAAAAGAGAAGGATGTGATTCCAGGTGAGGGTTCCACTTCTGTCCCAGCTCAGCAAGGCTCGGCCTTCCTTGTCCTGCTGGCCTGATGCTTACACACCAGTCAGCAGCCCGTGAGGGACAGTAACCCACAGAGGAAACCAACTGCACGTGGTATTGCATGGCTTTTAGGAAAAATATACTGTATCTTTCGTCAATCAAATGATTTGGTACTCCTCCAGCCACCAAAAATAAAGTTTACATAGAATTACGGTTTTGTTTTTGTTTTGTTTTGGTGCTAGGGATTGAACCTAGGGCCTTGTGCATACCAAGTAGGCATTCTATCACCAAGCTACACCCCTAGACCCTAATTTTGGATTTTTATTTATTTGCTTATTTACCATATGGGACTGGGGATCAAACCCAGGCCCTCACTAGGCAAGCATCCTACCACTGAGCTCCATCCCCAACCCTATTTTCCATTTTAAAATCAACATTAGTAAGTGAGAATGGTCTGTCATTTTCTTTCTTTTTCTATGTGCAAACTTTGTCAGTATTTTTTGTTTGTTTTTGTTTTTGGAGGGACTGAAGTTTGAACTCAGGGCTTCACACTTGCAAAGCAGGTGCTCTACCATGTGAGCCACACCTCCAGTGCATTTTGCTCTGGTTATCTTGGAGATGGTATCTTGCAAACTATTTGCCTAGGCAGGCCTTGAACCACAAATCCTCCTGATCTCAGCTAGGATTACAGGCGTGAGCCACAGGTGCCCAGCTGCTCTGTCAGATTTTGGTGCCAATGTTATATTTGCTTAAACACTGAATGTGGAAGTTTCCTTCTTTCTGTACACTGAAGAGATTAGACATCACTGGAATTACCTGTTTCAAAGATTTGATAAAACTCTCTTTTGGAACCTTCTGACGTTTTAAAATACTTTCCCTTATTTCATGCAAAGATATCACTTCATTTAGACTTTCAACCTTTTCTAGGATAAATTTTTTTGGTGGTACTGGAGGTTGAACTCTGGGCCTCCTGCTTGCATTAACCCAGACCTTTTTGCTTTATTTATTTTTCAGATGGCGAATGGGGCTGCTACTGGCATAACATGGCATACTGTTTTACAGCAAACTGTTTTTCACATGTACAAAGAGTACGCTCTAAAATAATGATGAAAAGCACAGCACATAAATACATAAACTAGCTGGCTGCAGTGGTTCAAGCCTGCAATCCCAGGTACTTGGGAAGCAGGTGGACAAAAAGTTCACGAGGTCCCATCTTAGCCGAGCACGGTGGAGAATACCTGTCATCTCAGCCACTTGGGGAAGCACAGACAGGTCTAGGCTGACCCTGGCATAAAGTGATATCCTATCTCAAAAATAACCAAAGCAAAAAGGGCTGGTGGAGTGGCTCAAGTGGTAGAGCGCCTGCCTCACAAATGCAAAACCCTGAGTTCAAACCCCAGTACTGCCAAAAACAAACCTCACAAACCAATAAGAGCCATTTATTATCATTATCAAGTATTATGTACTATATATAATTGTACATGCTATAGTTTTATAGGACAAACATTTTATAGGCTTTTGCTTGAACAAATGCCAAAGTAAGGCATTGCACTACAGTGTAGGACAGCTACAGTATCACCAGGTGACAGGGATTTCTCAGCTCCATTATAATCTGTGGCTTCACTGTCATTGACCAAAGTGTCATTATGTATGCTGCACACGATGGTAATTTGATTTGGGGTTTCCTACATCTCCAGATCTCTTATTTTTCATTTTTTTCCAGAAGTGGACAGATTCAGAACCCAACTTTCCCCCATGTTCTACTGGAACCTCCTGGACTCCTGGTAACATTAATTCTGATTCCCTTGGAGAAAATGAATAGTATTTATAGTTGCCTCCCCCACCCCCACCCTAAGGTGAGATAGTCTATAATAGAATGGCTAAAGCTGAAAATGACAATCTACCATCCAAAGACAAATGGCAAGTGTGAGAAGGGTAAACTGTAAAAGTAAAGTTTTTTGTTTTAGCTTTTCTTTTTTTTTGTGGTACTGGAGTTTGAACTCATGGCCTCACACTTGTTCTATTACTTGAGCCACTCTGCCAACCCTGAAAGTCAGTTCTGTCCACTCTCCCAGCTTTTTGAATCTTTGAAGGAAAAGCCACTCTGCATTTTGTAGCTCTGATAAATGGAGTCCAAATCAGAAGTACCACATGGTACTTCTATAAAGTACCACCGGCCTCTCTGAGGAAAGAAAAGGAAATCTGCAGAGCACAGAGGGGATTCATCACATTCAGGAACTCTTCAGCAATCAATCTAATAGCATGATTTCTGAGCCAGCTCATCAGTGAGATTTTAACTTCAATTTGGTTTGACAAGTAATGCAAAGCTCTCTCAATGTGGCAGTTTCACAGATGGGGAGGTACCAAGATGCTCTTATCACTGAGACCAAAATGCAGGTTGATCATCCCTGATCCAAAATACTTGGGACCAGAAATGTTTCAGCTTTCAGATAGTTTCAGATTTTAGAGTATTTGCATATACATTATGAGATATCTTGGAGATGAGACTTCTGTCTACACACAAAATTCATTGTGAATGTACAATTTACATGCAATACTTTTAGTGCACCTGTATTTTGGTGCACATGAAGCCAAATAAGGAATGTCCCACTTGCAGCAGTATGTCGATGCTCAGAAAGTTTCAGCCTTTGTAGGATTTCTGATTTTAGATCTGAGGTGCTCAATCTGTCTGAAAATGTAATCAATGGTACCAAAAAATTTTTTTTTAAAACTACCTGAGTATTCTGACCACCGGAAGCATGCCATCACCACCAAGAACCATTAAATTGGCATTTTAGATTATAAACTAGTTCCTCCATCTCATCAAATAATTCATCAAGTTCTTCCCAGGTAACATCAGTAGAGTTTCCAATCTTGAGAATAACTGACACTAGCTATCCCGGTCCTATCCTCCAGGATAGCATCTGCCCAGCCTACCCATCTCTTTATCACAGACTTCACATCCAAAGAATCCCAGCACTCACCGGTCAGTAGTGAAAATGTAGCCCACCAGATCCTTACAGCTTAACATCAGGACACAAAAGAATACAGCAAAAAGCACTGGGGGTAAAGGGGCAGAAGAAATGGCACCATGAACAAGGGGGACTACAGCAAGTGGGGAGCCCAGGTTTCCCCCACAGACACTGCATGGACCACAAGCATCCCACAAATGGGTCTAAGCACCTGTAGCCAGCAGGACAATCGCTGAGGACTTCTTTGCCTGCTCGATGTTCCCAGCACCCAATGCATTTCCTACCCGGACACTGGCTGCCACACTGAAGCCACTGGGGACCTAAAATGAAAGGGAAACCTATGACAATAAAACTGTGAAGCCACAGTCTCATGTCTCACACCTCACAGCAAAAATAAATAAATAAAAATTTTTAAATGCCATCCTACAAGTTCTGAAGATGACTTTGTAGCCTTTCCTTGCCTAGCCAGGAACAGGAACCCCCAGCACTAATGGTGGACCTGAATCTCCAAGTTATGATGCTTGCCACACACTGGGATTGGTTCAGGGTTTCTAAACTCTACCACGGGAGGACCCTACACAATCACAAGCCTCTTCTGAATATGGGGGCAGAGGAGAGTGGTGGACTACCCCAGGTCCAAGCTGGTGTCTGTTCTAAAAGACCCTCAAGGGATTACGTTTAGAAGACAGGAGTGTTACTAAAGGAAATATCAGGAAGCAGCATTGCCTTGTGGTTAGGAATTACGATTCTAAAGCCAGACTTAAGTTCAAATCCTCACACCAGTCTTTATCAGTTGTGTGTGACCCTGAGCAGGTTATGTGACATTTCAGAGACTTCTGATGCTTTGTTTTATCTGCACAAAGCTTCTAGTGATAGATCCTACCCCACAGGGTGACTGTGGGGCTACGCTAAGTCCACATATGCCAACTGCTTAGAACAGTATCTCCATAAAGATTTCCCATTGCTACTATCTATAAGTTTACCACTTGAATATTAATTAGGAAAAGATCTATCACTCATTGGAGCATGATGTTGACTTTCAGTCAGGAGAGCTAAGGACGGGGTTAAAGAAATCTGATACACAGATTGAGAAATGTAAAAGCAAGCTCACTACAGTGACAGATTTTCCAACAACTGATTTCTTCAGCAACAAGAGACAGGAAAGTAAGGGATGGAGTGGGGGCAGGGGGGAGAAATGACCCAAGCCTTGTATACACATATGAGTAATAAAACAATAAAAAAATAAAGGAAAGTGACGGAGAGAAACCTGGCAGGCACCATCTTAACCAATCACCTCAAGTTAATGTCACCAATGATGGGACAATCCACATCAGGTGCCTCCTGATACAATGCCCCAGGAAGGGCACAATGTCATTTGTACAATATTCCTGCAAAAATAGAATCTGAATCTGCTTTTGAGGAAATAGCTACAACACACTGAGGGAAATTCTATGTACAGTAGCCCATGATCTTCAAAAATGGCGAGGTTAAGGAAGACAAAACCTAAGGATCTGTTTCTGATTAAAGGACATTAAAGAGACATGGAACCTTATACCAGGGAAAAAGTAGTTTTAAAGGTTGTTCCAACACAGTTGTTAGTATTTGACCATGGACCCTGTAGACAGACAGACAGAGAGACAGCTGGAGCCAGAAGATGGAGCAAAATGCAAACAGTTGGTGAATGTGTAGAAAGACTACACATCCTTCTGATGAGTGAGAAATGGAAGTGTATATCCTGACAGGCCTGTTGTGAAGTAAATGCCAACGTGTGCAAAAAACTTCAAACTGCACACGAACTCCACTTGCAGGAGTTTATCTTAAAGAAACAATCAAACGAGGGGACAGAGATATCTGCCCTAGGATGTTCACGTTGCTAATTGTTCGCACTCTAATACTACTGAAACACTGGAAATTAAACATGCCGAACACTGGAAGAGTGGTTTTAGAATTAAACTCCACCATGGAGTTAAGCATTTTAGATGTAGTTCCTGAATTTACTGAAATATAAAATGTAAATAAAATATGTAAAATTATAGGTTAAAAAATTTTATTAAGAATAAAAAGAAAATGAGGCCCTCAAGAGAATGAGTCACAAAGGGAACAGAGATAACCACTCTATATAAATTTTAAACCAATAACCAATAACCAATGTGGAGTAGAATCTAAGCAAAAATATTACAAAAATGCAAAAGCACTACTGCAGCCTTCAAGTTTTTTCTTCCTTCCTTCCTTCCTTCCTTCCTTCCTTTCTGAACTCCAGCAGAGCTTTGCACCTGCTGCTTGAGCCCCCTTTTTCCTTTAGATATTTTTCAAATAGGTTCTCAGTCTATGCCAAGATTGTCCTGGACTGCAATCCTCCTGTTTATGCTTCCCCGCATACCTGGGATGACAGGTGCGTGCCACCATACCCAGCCATTGGTTGAGATAGGGTCTGAAGAACTTTTAGTCTGGGCTGACCGCGAACTGTGATCCTCCTGATCTGTGCCTCCCAGGCAGCTAGGATTACAGGCATGAGCCACCAGCATCCAGCTCAGTTTCTTTTCACATTACAAATGTAAATGCCTCTTTTTCTTCATTGAAATGAAGACATACACACACACATACATAATTTCCTTCCTTTTTAAGTTTGAGTAATCCTCCAGAGGCACCTGTACACCCATGTTTATTGCAGCACTATTCACAATAGCCAAGTTATGGAAACAGCCAAGATGCCCCACCACTGACGAATGGATTAAGAAAATGTGGTATCTATACACAATGGAATTTTATGCAGCCAGAAGAAGAACGAAATGTTATCATTTGCTGGTAAATGGATGGAATTGGAGAACATCATTCTGAGTGAGGTTAGCCTGGCCCAAAAGACCAAAAATCGTATGTTTTCCCTCATATGCGGACATTAGATCAAGGGCAAACACAACAAGGGGATTGAATTTTGATCACAAGATAAAAGCGAGTGTACACAAGGGAGATATAAGGATAGGTAAGACACCTAAAAAATTAGCTAGCATTTGTTGCCTTCAACGCAGAGAAACCAAAGCAGATACTTTAAAGCAACTGAGGCCAATAGGAGGAGGGCACCAGGAACTAGAGAAAAGGTTAGTTCAAGAAGAATTAATCTAGAAGGTAACACACACACACAGGAAATTAATGCGAGTCAACTCCCTGTAAAGCTAACCTTATCTCAACTAGCAAAAACCATTGGTCCTTCCTATTATTGCTTATACTCTCTCTTCAATAAAATTAGAGATAAGGGCAAAATAGTTTCTGCTAGGTAGTGAGGGGGTAGGGGGGAAAGGGAGGGGGCGGGGAAAGGGGGGAAAAATGACCCAAACATTGTATGCACATATGAATAAAATAAAAATTTAAAAAAAAGTTTGAGTAACCCTCCATCGTGCGTGTGTACCATCTTTCATTCATCCATTCATCCATCAGTAGATGGACACCTGGGTTGCTGCCACCCTTTGGCTACTGTGAGTAATGCTGCTGTGTTTAAGACTGGCTTTGCATTCCTTTGGGAACCTGCCTAGGAGGCAGGAAGCATCTATTAGAAGGCTTCAAACCCAGACAGGAGCTGGCACGGGGAGATACAAGTAGCTTAGCATTCATGACCAGACAGTTCCATGTCACCTGACCCCTCAAGGCATTTGTATTGTGACAACAGAAAAAGATCTAAACATGTGGGAAAACCAGCGTTAGACCAAGAACTAGCAGATCACTGAGCTTCTGCCCAACCCCTCTTCCAGCTCACAGGGAACACCCAACCCTACTATAAGAACACTCCCAGGCTCTAGGATGACGCTTTGCTTCCATCAGTCATCTCACACGTCACCACCTAATGTTACCAATGCCTGGGCTTATCTGTGGGAAACACGACCACATCCACACAGCAGGCTCTCAGACACTCACCATGTACATGATGACGGCCAGCTCATAAACGATGGACTGGGCTCCCAGCTCCACCATGCCGAGGACACCTGGCAAAAACAGACAGCTGACACTGTGCTTGGGACAGGGCCCCTCATGCCCCTCCCCCGCAGTCATCGCCAGCGATCCGGATACGCACCGCACAGGAAGCTGCCAATCTCGAAGGCCCACCACTCGATACATAGCATAAGCATGCTGGGGATGGCCAGGCGCAGGAAGGAGGCCCAGTCCTGCAGGCACTCGAGGGACCACCCTGCAGGTGCCACACACACAACACGCACGTTTCCAAGACATCCTAGCTTTCAGGCTGACATTCGGCCTGAAGCCAAAGCCATGGCAAAGTTGGGAGACAAAAGGCAGTCTTTACCTCCCCAGGTGGCTTGGTGCAGTTTTCTCCCAAGGATGTAGAGAAAGAGGAGGAGGGCCAGGGTGAACTGGGAGATCGTATTGGCCAGCGCGGAACCCCTGGTAGATGTGAGAGCATGTGCCTGGGTGCCGCCCTCTGCATGCCTCCCTCAGGAGGAGGGGAGCCAGGCGCCCCCTGCTATGCCCTTTTCTGCAGGCCCTGAAGTCTTTCCCCCAGGACAGCATCGCCTCCAATCCCCCACAGCACCTTTCTGACAGAAGGAGCCCACATGTGGACCAATCAAAGGGTCCACGCTCTTCCCCCTGGAAAAGCCAAAGGCAAGTCCTTCTTCCTCCCTGCCCCCAAGAGGAGTGTGGACTCACATCACCCCAAGATGCAGCTGATAGAGAAAGAGATAGTTGGTGAAGGCATTGACAAAGTTGGCTGCGACTCCAGTCAGAATCTGAGGCAGAACAATTCCCTGGAAGGAGGAGACAATTGCCATACTCACAATACAGCACGCAGGAGAGAGGTAACTGGGAACGCCACGCCCTGAGCCTCCCATCTGCCCTCTCCCCCTTCCCCTCCTCTTCCTCCTGCTTTTATGCATGAAATGAAGAGGTGAGAAGGCAGCAGAGAGGGAAGAAGAGAGAAGGCTCAGCTCCAAGCTTTCAAGGACTGGCCAGGTAAGGTTTAAACATGGGACAGTCAGTGCAATACTTTCTCCACTAAAATTGAAATCCAAAAAATTGACCAAAGATTTTGTGGAACTAGCGTTCCCTTCTGGAGTACAGAATGGACTCTGTTATAGCTGATGCTGAGAAGTAGGGACAGGAAAAATGTCCTTAATTATCCATTAAGACTTAGGGGAGAGACAGGTGTGTGGTACCACCTGTAATCCCAGCACTTGGCAGGTAGAAGCAGGAGGATTGAGAGTTGAAGGGCAGCCTGAGCAAAAACAAAATACAAAAGGGCAGGGGGAGGCATGGCTCAGGAGTAAAGCACTTGCCTAGCAAGCAAGAGGCCCTGGGTTCTGTCCCCAGGATGGCCAAGGTAGCAAATCAAATTATCATTAACATTTAAAGCCTGAACATAGAATTGTATCAGATGTCAAAATCTGTCCGGCAGGGTATCAGGATAGAGTAACAGACACAGACAAAGTTACCTGCAGCTGTAAGAGGGAACACTATTTCTCTGCCCAGTAAAGTGTCACCATACCCTCTTCTTTAAATGTCTACTGCTTTCTCAGAATTCACAGACCAGCCGGGCACCGGTGGCTCACTTCTATAATCCTAGCTACTCAGGAGGCAATGATCAGGAGGATCTCTGTTCAAAGCCAGCCCCGGGCAAACAGTTCACAAGATTCTATCTCAAAAATACCCAACACAAAACAGAACTGGCGGAGTGACTCACAAGTGTGAGGCCTTGAGTTTAAATCACAGACGGTGCCCTAAGCCTGTAATCCTAGCTCCTTGAGAGGCAGAGATCAGGAGAATTGTTCAAGGCCACCTGGACAAAAAGTTCACTCCATCTCAATCAAGAAGAGCTGGGCTTGGTGACACTTACCTGTCATCCCAGCTATGTGAGGAACCACAAATAGAGAGACTGGTCCAGGCCAGCCCAGGCATAAAGTGAGACCAGATCTCAAAAGTAACCAATTCCAAAGGGCTGTTGGAGTGGCTCAAGTCGTAGGGTACCTGTCTAGCAAGCATGGGGCCCTGAGTTCAAACCTCAGTACAGAAAAAGAAAAAACACAGACTATAAGAAATTTTGCTGTTTGAAATTATGTCAGTAAAAAGAAAACATTCCACTCTTGCCTAAAAAGCAAGTCACTTTACCACACACACACACAAAAAAATCTTAGGGCTAGGGGTGTAGCTCACTGATAGAGAGTGCTTGCCTGGGTCCTGGATATGGTCATCTATATCACATCTACTTGTATCTCCATCCATCTTAGCTTTGCAGTTTCCAAGCGGGAGAGGACCTGGGTCCACGTCATAGTCTAGACCTGATGCTAGCCCCTCAATCATATCCCTACCCTGTTCCTACAAACCAGGGCCTCATTTAAATTCCACCTGATCCTTGCTCTTTACAAACTCTTCTCCTGACCCTGTCTCTGTCTCTGGTGAGACACCCCACAGCTCCTCTGGCCTCTCAATGCCATGTGTGAATAAACCCAATAGGAGCTGCAGGTTTGTCTCAAGACTCACAGGAAGAGAGTCTTGGCAACCACTTACGTGAGCCAATCATGTATCCATAGCCCCTGGTTGCTTTCCAGTAAGGGGGTCAGTGATCAGAGTTCCATTATAGGCAGGTGGTAAAAGCAGCAGTGAGGTACTGGATGGACACAGGAAAAGCTGGCAGCAGGGAAACTAGTCAATAAGATCCTACTGAGATGACACGGAGGACAAATGACAAGAAATGAGAAGGAGGTAGGACCACAGGACCAGGTGGCTGATTAAATAGATGTAGGAGGAAGGGAAAGATGGAGTCACAGGGATGACAAGGCCTTCGAGAGGCAGATTGCAGGGTGAGAATGCGCTGATTGAGATGGGGTCAGGAAAGCCAAGAGCAGGCTTTCAAGGCAAGATGAGGAGGTCGGAGGTCACATATGCAACAAGCATGGGTTTCCCAAAGGCAGCTGGAAAAGATGTCTGGAGGTCAGAGAAAGAGAGAGAATGAGTGGGAGCCATACACACAGAGATGGAAAAGAAGCATGCAAGGGGCTGCTGCCTCACAGGATGTCACCTTACCCTTCAAGGTCCCCTGGATGTCCAGGGTAAGCGCTGCTCAGCTTTCATCTGTTCCCTTTCTACCCTATACACGCTTCCAAGTTAGTAACCTTCTCTAACCAATCAGCTGCTTCTGTCTGTTCTATGCTCAATACTGGCCAGGCTGTCTGCCTAGGGAAGGCCCTAAAGCCTCCCTCTGCTTCCACAGCCCAGTCCTGCTACCATCACCTCTATAGAGCTCACCCCATCCTGCTTCCTACTACCCCAGGGGCAAGTCCTTCTTCCTGGACCTTCATCAGCCGACCATCTCATACCCCCTCATCCCTGCTTGTTTCCTACGAACTCATATCCCCAGCAGAGACCCTGGGCCAGCCCACTCCTCCAATGCCAGCATGTGCTCTGTCTTCCCACACTGCAGCAGCCTGACCATACTCTGCACGTCCCACACCTGTGATTGGCTCCTGCTGGCCCGCTGTCTGGAATGCCTTTCCCCTCCCCGACCTTAGAAACCATACATGTCCACTGTAACCCCGTTCACACCTCCTGACCCCTTTCCACTGGAGGTTCCTATTTCCTGGTCCTTCCCTAGCCCTCAGGATGTTGGAGAGTGGAGTTTTCACACCCACTGTCCTCACTGTCAGATTAGAACCTGAGGCTAAAGTCCACCAAGTCACTGCAAGACTAGCAGGCCCAGGGAGGAGTTCCAGTGGTGTGCTAAAGATTCTGCTTGGTTCACACAGATTCTAGAAAGAGGGACAGCCAGAGACAAACCAGAAATGCTGATTTCCTTCTCCATCTGCAGCTTGTTCAAGCATTTAATTCTAATACTAAAAAATTATGGAAATACTCATTTTGTTAATAGGGTAATTCCTTAAGATTATACGGTAGGTGGGAAATTCCCTCGCTTTCTTCTCCCTTGCCCTTCGCTGTTATACATTCTGGGAAGCCTACCTGTGTGGTGGAGATCCATGGCCCAGTCTCCCATTTATCTGGATTTTTCTAAAGGAAAAATCCTATACTGGCATCACAAATCCTCACCTACCAACTCAGAGTGACCATCCTGGGACCTTTACTGTTAACTGCATGTGAAGAGACCTGACTGACATGAGGTCTCATTACAATTTGAGTTTTTGTGTCCTCACTGGGAAAGGTGGGGACTTTCAGACAGAACTAAGCAGAGATGGCTGGCTCTCTGGAGCCAGACAGGCCACTCTGACCCTCAGCTCTCTCCAGGGAGCAGATAGGCCTGCGCTGTTCATCCCAAGGAGCCAGTTTAAAACACAGCCAAAAAACACGGCAGCTCCAATGCTAACATTGCCAATGACAATATTCCCAAGTGGGAACTGGATATGAATTTTCCAAAGCCAAAAATAATGTCTTCTTTCCTTAATATTGTTTAACAAACCTCTTCCCATCAAAGTCCTATATGCAAAACCCTGCAAATGTCTTTCAGAGGCTCTCAGGGGCAAGCTCCCTCCACCCTGGTCTCCCTCATCCCTGAGTATTTTCAGGAACCCCAATCCCATCAGCCTCCCAAAGGAAAAGAGCAGTCCACGTTACCTGGTTGAGCAAGTATTTAACTTGTAATGTATAAAGAAAGGTCGCCTACAAGAGAGCAAAAGGTGAGTGTTAGTGCTTTGGCCTGGTCACACATCAGTGAGCTGGGAGCCTCAGCTGGCTTGCACCATAGCCAAGGCCTGCCTGGTTGCCCTCTGCCCCCACCCACGAAGCAACAATGGCTCCATCTAAGTACAGGGGTGAGAGGAGTGGCTATGGGGAAGGAGGCTCATACAACTCCTTTATGGAGACACGATCCACACCACACTCCTCTCCCAATCAAGCCAAAGGAAATGCGGTTTCCCTAGATGCATGGAAGAGCTTGGGGTGTTGGGATGGGTTCCTCCATATAGACCAGACTGTTGTCCTATGTGGTGGAAAAATGAAGGAATGCCATACTTAGAAAGTTTTATGGGATAGAGCTGGGGGTGTGGCTCAGAGGTAGAATGCTACATGCCTAACACGTGAGGCCCTGGGTTCCATCCCCACACAAAAATAAATAGATACATCAAATAAAAATGAAAGCAAAATGAAAAATAAATTTTTTATAAAAAAAATTAAAATAAAGAGTGCAATTTTTATTATGAGGGAAATGGCTACTAGTATAGTCTGAATTGTGTTCTCCAAATTCACACCTTGAAACCTTAACCTTCCCCCATGTAACTGTATTTGGAGGTCTTTAAAGAGGTGATTGAATTGAAATGAGAGCATTTGGTTGGGACCCTCATCCAATGGGATCAGTGTCCTTATAAGAAGAGATGCCAGGGGCTTCATGCACAAGGGGATGACTTTGTGACATGGGAGCAAAAGGAAGGAAGAAGCAAGCCAAGAAAAGAGACCACAGAACAAACCAACTATGCCCACACCTTGACCTTGGACTTCCAGCCTCTGCCCACTCTGTGGTATTAATGCTGTAGCAGCCCCAGCAAACTAATTTAGCTCCCTGTCAATTGAATAAACCCTGTGTAATAGTTCATCGACTGCACACAACTGAGCATCAAACATTAACGTGCACTTAGGGTTCTGTGTGTCCACACTCAGCCTGCACAGAAAAGTCTAAAGGCCAAAGTGATGCCCTCAGGGATCTGAGATGGGTAAGATTTTACCCCTAAAAAAAAAAAAATCTGGACTCTTCTCCCTGGATGATTCTGGAGGGTCCTCCAGTTAAAGGAATTCAAGACAGTGTCCTCCTGGAATAGTCTTGCCTGACCCTGGTGTTTCTTTAAGAGACAAACACTGGTTTTGTCCATAATTAAAACCATGCTCCCATGAGGTGCCAACACCATGTGCATGTCCCAATGTATGGGACTTGCAGACACCACAGCCACTTTATACCCACGCACCCCAAGAATGGAACCTCTGAGCCCTTGAAAACTCACAGGAAGAGCTGGAATGAAGACATTGACATAGGTCTGGGTGAGCCTATACAAGGAAAAAAATAAGAGTAAAAAACAGTGACAGAGGCCTACATTTCCTAGAGAAGAAATCAGAGTAAGATAACTAAGGCTAGACTTCCACTGCCAGAGCAAATGGGAAAACTTACCCATAGTCTGTCATCCTACAGCCCACCTACCTTTCTAGGACAGAGATTTTCAACCTCATCCTTTATCCAGACAATTCTGTGCTGTGGGGAGCTGTCCTGTGTGTGACAGGCTTGTCCTGATTTACACCAGTGGCAACTCCCCCACTGCCAGCTGTGATACTCAGAAATGTCTTCACATCTTACCCAATGCTCCTGGGTTCAGAGCCGCTGGTTTGGGCAAAGGCTTTTTAAGTGTCTTTAACTGATTGTTAAACCAGTGACTCTCAAACATAGTGACTCAATGGAGTCATCCGGAAGCTCTGAAAGGTCCAGATACCCATGCCTCACGCTGGGGTTGAGGTTGGGGATCAGCGGCCTGGAGGTGTTTTACAGCCCCAACCCAGGTCAGGAATCCCTAAGCAATGAATGAACCACAAACTGCAGTCCCACATGGAGGACCTAATTCCTCTCAAAACTCTGCAAGTCACCCAGGAGAGGAAGGTCTCGGTCTTAGGAGACAGGAGTGGAAGGTACCACGGTCTGGGAGGGATCCACCCAGAAGAGCTTGTCCCCAATGTGATGTGCGGCCTTGTTCCTGGCCTGGCCTTTGTAACTCCCAGAGGCTGAGACTGAACGGTCTTTGTGCCGGGATGGACACCATGTCTGTCTTACCTGGACACGTCGGGGTCCTGCCTGAAGATCAACAGGATGTGCTGGGTGTTGATGAAGAGCGCCCAGCAGGGAAGGCAGCAGAGGAGCAGGATGAGCACGCTCTTCTGCAGGATGACGCCCACATGCTTCAGGTTCTGGCTCCCATACGTCTGGGATGCACAGAGTCAAACAAACCTGTTAGTGCATAAAACAGCCCATCCCTGCTGCCCCCACAAGGCCTTCAGGCATGCCTCATGAGAAACAGGCGTCCCCCGAGAGGAGGCATCGATGGTGAGCAAGATCCCATGGCCCATGGGACTGCAGCCACAAGAGAAGTGTGACCTCCATATTGCCAGCCTGGGAAAGAGCCAATATCATATTCAAAGCATGATTTTTCTACTCAATGCATACCTCCTCTGCGCCATCCCTTCCTTTCTCCTTCTTCCCTCCCTTCTCCCTCCCTCCTTCCTTCCTTCCTTCTTCCCTCCCTCTCTTCCTCCCTCCCTCCTTCCTTCCTTCCTTCCTTCTTTCCTTCCGAGTTCTGGAGATACTTTATTTAGAAAAATATCGCTGATTTTAAGACTTGAACTTTTCTTTTAAATGGCACATTAATTCAATATCAGGTATCTCTGAATAATGAAAGTATTTGCTCATAGAATAAAAAATAAAAATACAATAACCGGAGAACAAACTCATAATCCATTGATCCAGGTTGCATGTGTTGTTTTACATTTCTTCATCCTTTATAAATCCTTTTCTTTCTTGCTTTCAAATCTACTTTGGGCTCTGGTTTTACCCACTGTGTTTCTATTGCTTTTTTCTCAGAGGCACAGCACAAACACCCTCAGTGAGATGAAGAAGAACAGTCTTTGGCTCTTTCTTTCACTTTCGAAGCATTCTTCCGTTGTCTGTCTGTGCGTTTTGCCGCTGTGCTGGATCTGACGCCATGCCCGTGCACGTTCTGTGACTGGAAGTGAGGATTTCTGTATAAAGTTGGTCCTGGAAAATCTTTATGAAGTTTAAGACAAAACAAGGCCCTATTTCTACAAGAGCTGCATCTTCTATGATCTGAAAGCTCCAAAACCATGTCCTATTACCCAAAATGGGAAAGTAAACACATAGTCCATAAATGATTGGCCTTGGGGATGCAGTGTCTTATTGAAAATCTGAATTAAGAATTCTTTAGCAGCCTGGAGATACGGCTCAAGTGGTACAGCACCTATGCCTAGTAAGCGTGAGGCCCTGAGTTCAAACCCCAGTATCACCAAAAAAAAAAAGTTCTTTGAACAAACGTGGCAATTCATAGAAAGCAAGATCAAAAGACAAAAGGGGCTGAGAACCTTGCAAATAGTTTCCATCATCTTCAGCTCACGAGGGTTTGGATGTTTTAAACAAGGATTTGACCCATGAGGTGAACTTGAAAGCCACATATAGAGATCCTGTTTTTTTCTTAGCTTCAGAATGCATGTACTCATTGCAGTGTTTCATTTCACAGACCTTATTAATCAGAAAGGATTGGCTCTATGGTCTGGCACAAAGCATCAACAGTGTCAAGTCCTGCATTCAACATCCTGTGCTGAAGCCGATTCCTCTAGAAGAAAAGATGAGAAGCCATCCCTTATTGTTCCACCGGCCTTTGCAAAGGGGGCCTGCGATCCAATGTCTCTTCTTTCTCCACTTCTACCACAGTGGGCGGCTTAGCTGGCTTCCCAGCATTGTTTTCGTCTTTTTGGGTGATTTGGCTGCTTTGCCTGACTGCCAGGCTCCTGTGCTGTTTCCTCTTGGTTTCCACCATCTTGCCTCTCTCCTTTAGCTACTTTTCAAATAGGGACTCTCACTTTTGCCCAGAACCAGTCTCAGACCATAATCCTCCTACCTCCACCTCCCCAGTAGCTAGGATTAAAGGTGGGCATCACCATGTTTTGACCCTTTGCACCATCTCTTTTTTTTTTTTTCAGTACTGGGGTTTGAACTCATGGCCTTGCATTTGCTAGGTGGAAGGTCTACTACTTGAGCCACACCACCAGCACTTTTGGCTTTAGTTATTTTCAGATAGGGTCTCACTTTTTGCCCAGACTGGCCTGGAAGCACAGTTCTCCTGTTTATGCTTCCCACGTAGTTGAGATTACAGAAATGAACCACCATGCATGGCTTGTTGGTTGGATAGGGTACTGCTAATTTTTGCCAGGGTTGGCCTTGAACCAAGATCCTCCCAATCAAAATCTTCAAGTAGCTAAGATTGCAGGTGTGAGCCATTATACCCAGCTCCCTTTGCACCACCTTAAAGTAAAAAAGTTGTAAGTTGAGTCATGAAGAGGACTAGAACACGGCTGCCCACAGGAACCACATAGGGTCCCACTAAAGACATTTTGATGTAACTGGTACAGGGTGGGACTCAAATAGCAATAGTTTAAGTTGCCTGTTTGATTTTAACTTACAGTGAGAGTTGCAGAACTGGGAAACTTGTTAGAAATGCAAATTCCTGGGCTCTCCAGACCTAGAAGTGAGAACTCTGGAGTGAGCCAGAGCTGGGAGAAGCCTCGCATTCCAACTTACAAAAGCCAAACTGTATGTGTTTCTTGCAGCTTCATGTTCGGTGACATCTCTGGTAGCTTCAGACTTGTCACACAGGGAGCATTTACGCCATCAGAATTGGCAAACACAGATGGTCCTCAACTTAGGATGGATGAACTTAACAATTTTTCAACTTTAAGAAGGTGTAAAGGGGTCTGGAAGCATAATGCAAGCGGTACAGCACCTGCCTAACAAGCACCAAGTCCTGAGTTCAAACCCCAGTACTTGGTTTGAACTTTCTCTTGGTGCTGGGCAGCACAGGGAACCACAGCTCCTTGTCAGCTAGGAGATCACCAGGGGAACCAGTTGGTGCTCCACAGTGCACTGTGTTGCTGAGGCAGGAGGCTCTGTAGGCCACTTGGAGTCAATGCATGATGACGGGCTTATCTAGACATAACACATCATAAGTGAAGAAGCACAGTTGGAACATGTCCCCCCCCAAAGAAAGGGGTGCCTTGGACGGGCCAGCAACTTGTGCTTTAATAAGTCCTTGAGGCCATTCTGATGCAGGGCAGGTTTCAGAGCCACAAGACCATACCAAACTCAAACATGTGAGTGACAGGAGGGACTTTTACAAATGTCCCCTATTCAGTCCAAGGTTAGTGGGAGGTAGTCATGCAGACCAACTGGATCACATTGCTGAAAGAAACCCAGCCTCATCTCAAAGACAGCAGGTGAGAGCAGCAGCCAGTGCTGACACAGTGTTGCAGGGCCTTACTCTGGATCTCATCTTCTGTTTACAGGAATGACTCTCCCTCGTGAACCATGGTGTGGTTCTTCCATCTACACTCAAGAAAAGATGTCCAGTGTCACTGTGAGAAGGTGATCACTTCCACTTACCTGGGAGATGAGGGTGTCACAAGCAGAAGATAAGCCATGGCCCACTGAAACACCAGTGACATTGATAATCTGGAAATAAACCAAGGGGAAAGCCAGAGTTAGAGGGAGTGGAAGACTAGTTCTCTGTCCATGCTGATCAGGCCAAACCAAGCTCTTCCTTTATCATGGACAGGCCAATTTCATCACCTTTGTTAACTGTCTGGGGCCCCTGCTCGAATCAGTCAGACCAACTTAAAGAACATGCATGAGCTCAGAGACAGACAAAAGTTCTAGGCCAGAGATTGTCACAACCTTTTTGTTTGTAAGTCCTAGACAATTTGCTCTCCAGCATCAGGAGATCATGAACACTTCTTAAGGGAATGAGTAATGGCACAGCAATCTTGAGTGATAGATAAGACTAAGTACCAGCTGAGCAACTAATCCCCAGATCCACAATCCGAAATATGAAACTTTAGTTCAGACATCATGCTCGAAAAGCTTCAAATTCTGGACCATCTTGGATTTTGAATTTTCAGATTAGGGATGCTCAACTGGTAATATCTGTGCAAATATTCCTAAAGTCAAAAAAATCCAGAATTTAAGACACTTCTGAAGTATTCAGGATAAGGGATGCTCCACTTGTGTGACCTGAGTCAAAACCCTGAAGGGCGTGGGGAAGGGGAGGGTAGAAGCAAGCATGAAGTCAAGGCTAGTGTCTGCCAGAGGCTCTTCAGGCACTCTTTCACCACGGCCAGCCCTGGATCCCTAGAGCTGCAGGAGCTCCAAGCCAGGTGGTGGTATCATAGCACGTAAAATTCCTCTACCTCACTGAGTCCATAGAGGATACAAATGGACAACAGCCCTAACTCAGCTCAGCCAAGAAGCACTGGCTTTGACAAGTCTTTGTTGCAATTCCTTAGCTAAAGATAGTCTGCCTGTGGCTTGCATGTCTGTCTTCCCTCAAATTTTCCAGTATGGGGAGGGAGATGTAGCCCAGTGGCACAGCACTTGCCTGGCATGCAAGAGGCACCAGGTTCCACCCAGTACCCCCTCCCCCCAAAGGAAAAAATGATAGATCCCCACCATAAATCAAGATGCATCTGTGCTTAAAAGCAAAAAGAATAACTAAACCTGAGGTTGTCCATGCTTCCCCTAAAGGCAAAATAATGTGTACACCCTTGGAGAGTAGCTCTCAGTAGATGACTTTGTTGCGGGGTGGGGGGGGATGGGCAACAAATGTGTGTCACCACAGGTAGTAGAAGGGCTGGGGGGATGGGAACAGATACTCTGATGAAAGCCACAGAGTTCATTTTACTAAAAACACCTCACTGGTCAAACCAAACAAGTTGGAAGGCCCTTGGGTCTTGCATGGCCAGTTGGCGATCTCTGACAGAGACCAGTGGTACATCTCCCTGATCTTTGGGGTTTGCACCCACTGTAGAGGACTTGGGATTCCTGTGATTTCAGATTTGGATCTAGGCTTCCACCTTCCTGTTCTATTTTCAGATGAGGATTTTCAGTAAGAGTAAGGGAGGGTGTCTCCTTATGATGTCAGTGGGGATACCTCCTGATGACGTCAGACTTTAACGCCCTTTTACAGTTCCCCTCTCCACCCACACTTGGGACCAAGAACAGGAAGCAGAGCTCCACAGATGACAAATTAGATGATAGGGCAGGCAGAATAGTGTCCTCCAAAGATGTCTGCATCTTCATCCCCAGAACCTCTGCCAGATCTCCCAGCAAAGGAGAATTATTCATTAAGGTTACAGCCCAGGTGGCACCTTGACTTTAGCTTGGTGAACCCTGTTTCAGACTTCTGACCTCCAGCACTGTAAGATCAACAGATTGGCGAAAAACTGGGGAGAGAGGAGAGCAGGAGGTGAGGAGAGCACTGCCGGGAGCAGCGTGCTGCTCTCCCAGCCACCTCCAGTGGGAGGTGAACAACCCGCTGCCAGGGTGCTGCTGCCAGTTTCCATAGGCAACATGTGCAATTCATGGTGGGATTTTCTCTGAATAAGAAAATATTTTGGAAACCACTGGGTGCAGATCCTGTATTGTTTCTTAATTTTTACAAATAATTTTTTTTTTCTTTTTTCCTTTTCTTTTCTTTTTTTTTTTTTAAGGCAGTGCTGGTAATTGACCCGAAGGCCCTCGCACATGGCTAGGCAAATGGCTCTCTCCACTGAACTATATCCCCAGTCCGTTTAAAATTTATTTTGAGGCTGGGCTGTAGCTCTGTGGTACAGCGCTTGCCTAGGCATGCCGTGCCGGCCCTGGGTTCGATCCAGCACCAAAAAAGAAAAACAAAAAAAAAAATGTTTTTTATTTTCAAGCCAGGCTTGTGGGGCAACCACCTGTAATCCCCAATGCTAGGGAATCAGAAGCAGGGTGATCATGAGTCAGAAGCCAGCTCGAGCTAAATAGTGAGATTCTGTCTCAAACCCCGTCCAAAAAAACATGTATTTTGAGACAGGGTCTTGCTAAGTTGCCCAAGCTGGCCTCAAACTTTTCAGATTTTGCCTGCCTCAGCTCCCCAACTGGCAGGGTTTTACAGGTTAATATACCACCAAACACCGCAGCTTTAACTATTTGTGTGTATGTGTGTGCGCGTGCGTCTGGGGTTTTAACTCACATTTTTTTCTAATATTTAGCAAGTTTTAATTAACACACAAAAAAACCGAACATACTTATGGAATCAAGTCCAATGTGCCATTTCAATACAGAATACAGTGGTGATTAGATAGGGGGACTCACACATCCATCACCTTCAATAGTTACCATTTATTTGCGTTGGGAGCATTCAAAATCCTACTAGCTATTTTGAAATATGCAACTAACTGTGCGCCCACGCATGAGCTTACCCTAGATGTCCTGATCCACCTGCACTCCTGTACCCATGAACCATCCTCTCTTCATCCCTCCAGAATCACGTTTTTGAGCATTTCCTAACTTTGGGGGGTTACTTTTCACTTCAATTTCTCATGCCATAGGTGACATTAAGTATCTTCAGATGTGTTCAGAGGCTGCCTTCTCAGATAACCCCGTTATGCCAGTCCCTAGTGAGAAACTCTCCTGCAGCGAATATCCTTCCATAGTAAGGGCTCATTCCAGGCAGCAGGACATTCCATGGCCGAGAGGGACTGAAGGAGAAAGAAGATCCATCAGGAAGGCAGGTAGGGTCTTCCATCCTCAGGTGAAATCCTACCAGTCTGCTGAGCACCTCTGATTCTTTCATTCTACAGGGCTCAGATATGAGGGCAAATTCAGCTTCTGGAATGTTGAGTGGCTCTTCCCCACAATTCCAGCGACCACTATGAATTGCTGCCCCCGGTGCTGAGGCTGCACTGTTGGATACCTGGGTTATTTCTTTCCTTTTTTTTTTTTTTTTTTTTTTTTGGTGGTGGTACTGGCGCTTGAACTCAGGGCCTACATTTTGAGCTACTCCACCAGTGCTTTTTTTTGTGTGTGTGTGTGATGGGTTTTATCAAGATAGGGTTCCACAACCTATTTGCCCAGGTTGGCTTCGAACCTCGATCCTCCTGATCTCTGCCTCCTGAGTAGCTAGGATTATATGCATGAGCCACTGGTGCCCAGCAAAAAAAAAAAAATAGATAGATAGATAGATAGATAGATATAGATATAGATATAGATATAATATAGAGAGAGAAAGAGAGATTTATTGAGGTTAATTTTAAACCACATCCTGCCCCTGTTTCCTAGACCCAGGCAGCCCAGTGTCTTATTCTCTTGGAAACTGATGAGGTCCAAGAAGGGGCTCATCTGAAGCCCCTCCTTAGGAGGAGAGAACAGGTGTCTAGGGATTTGCTGCACCTGTCCCATGGGGCATTTTTAAAACCTGATGTGCCAGGATGCTGACATTTGCTGCTGGTCCAGCTGCGGTGCCACCTCTCACTGCTCCTCTGCGCTGAACTCAGACAAGAGTTCCTCTTTCATGGGCTCCAATAGCACTGCTTCTGATGCTGGCCTCCACCAGGCCCACAGATAGCCTGTCTGCTAGCCATGCAGGATCCACTCAGGACCTGAGCAGGTTCCCACGATGTGATAGTTAGGATGACCACTCCCTTTTCTTCCCAGAACCCACCCCTAGAAAGAGACAGTTTTGAACTGCAGTGATGGCCTAGAACTTCAAAACACGAATTTCCCATCCCTGTGTGCATGTGCATACATGGATATTGTGGGGGGCCTATCTTCCTCATATCAACTCCCAAACCCAGACCCAGGTGTGCTGTCACTACCAAAGAAACTGTGTGTGAATTTAATTTCAAATAGAGTGTCTTGCTACTGAACAGAAAAATGTTTTTGTATAGCATAAGTAAGCCCAAGTAAGACAAGAAGGGATTAGCCAGGCGTGGTACTACATGCCTGTAATTTCAGCTACTTGGGAGGCAGAGGCAGAAGGATCTCAAGTTGGAGGCTAGGCAGGGGAAAGTCAGTGAGAACTTACCTTAAAACTAAAAATAAACTGGGCATATTTGCTAACACCTGTAATCTCAGCTACATAGGAGGTAGAGATTGGAAGGAACAAGGTTCAAGGCCAGTCCGGGCAAAAAAGTTAGCAAGAGATGGGTCTCACCAATAAACTGGGTGTGGTGATGCATGCTTATCCCACTGTGCAGGAGGCATAGGTAGGAGGATCAAGATCCAGGCCAGCCCCTGGCATTAACAAACAAGAACAACAACCAAAAAACCTTCGGACTCTAAAAAAATAACCTAAAGCAGAAGGGGCTGAGTGCATGGCTCAAGTGGAAGAGCGCCTGCCTAGCAAGTGCAAGACCCTGAGTTCAAATCCCAGCACCACCAAAAAATCAAAGAAAAACGAAAGGGCTCAGGGCATGGCTCAAATAGTAGGACTCTTGCCTAGGATGTTCAAGGCCCTGGTTCAAACCTCAGTACTGGGAGGACACACACACAAAAAAGACAAGAGGGGAATGAAAATGATGGAGGGATAGAGTGTAAATAACCACAGTTTGCAGGCTAAGGATGGAGTTCAGTGGTGGAATGCTTGCCCAACTTGCACAAGGCCAAGGTTCTACACTGGAAGAAAAACTGACATGAAAAACTTGATTGTGTAGAATATAAAGTTGGAGCCAACGGGCAGTGCCATGATTAAGGTCATTTACTTCCCTGACACGTGTTTGCTATGGTTTCATTCGACTGCATCGCTTCCCAGTTCTTTTGGCTCACGGGCCGCTAAGCCTTTGTGCAAATATCATCACAAATGAAGGTGTTCACAGAATCTGTGGTTCTTCTCCTGACCCATGGAACTTCCTGTCTCTGCCTCTCAGTTCCTTGCAGGCTACATGTCAACTGCCTGTCATGGCTTCATGTGAACACGGGCTCGTCTACCCTATCCTCAAGCCTCTGGAGTGTGTCCTAGATTCATAAACCTGCTGCTGTGAACGTCTTTTCAACTGGGGTGAAGCAGGGGAATTTTCTTAGGGTGGGTTCCCAGTTAAAGGGTGGGAATAGTTAGGTGTCTCTTACACAAAAGGCCAGGAAGTCAAACTGAGTTCAACCAATCCATGTGGGATGCAACCTCAATGTTAATGCCAGCTGAAACAGTTTCTTTTGAGGGCTCTTGCAGCTTTGCTGGGGTTATGGCAATAACCCCGCTCACCGCCCAAGTTGGGCAGCCAAGCCAAGCCAGCCCATCCTGAACTTCAGTACCGGCAGGAACCGGGCTCGGGGCTGGCTGTAGATTTGCTAACTTCTTCTCAGACCTTGGTGGCAAGCCCTTTGGGTGAATGGCTGGCCACAGATTGTGGTCACCTGAGAGTCAGGGTAGAGGGGGAGGTTGTTGAAAATGCCTGTGCCCTGGTCCATCTCAAGAGATAGATTCAGGAGGTCTATGGGGCCAGGGAATCTGCATTGTGACATAGTCCCTGATGCTACCCCATGTTCACCCAGCAAAGATGCAGGTGGCCAACGCTACAGTCTGAGAATGCTCTAGACCCTTTGGAACTGTGCCACCCAAAGGCATGCTGCAGCACCAAGGAATTCACTAATTCTGGACAAAGGTTTGTTTCCCCAGGATCTCAATGACTGCTGTGTAAACAACAGTGAGCTGAACTGGCCATGGCTCAGACAGAACCAAATAGATGATAAAAACTGTCCAAATAGGGGCTGAAGGTGTGGCAGGTACATGTGAGACCCTGAGTTCAATCTCCAGCACCCCCCGCCCCCCCCCACACACACATACACACACACACACTTCTCCACATGCAAGTTGGCAGACTGACTATGCTTCTGGCCTTTCTTCTTGTCCAGGGACCATGCTCATTTTTTGGTCAGACAGCAATATGCCAAGCTGGTAGTAAGACAAAGACTCTGCCACATGGCAGCCTGAGAAAGGGGCTCTCCAGGGCCCGCTGCCTGGAGGACCAGTGGGCAGAAACTTGTCTTGTGACGGGGTGCTGAAAGGGCCTCTCACCTTCTCCCGTTGAGGCCTGGCATAGGAAGGAATCTGAATGGTCACAGGGGACAGCCTCCTCTTTGTACATGTTAGGAAGCTCAGCTCAAAGCCACTTGACTCAGCTCAGAATGTCCACTCAGGACAGTATCTTTGGAGAGCCAAGTGCATCCTAGCCACTCAGGGTACAAATCTGAGTTAGCCAAACACCACTGCTCTGCACCTTCCCTCAGGGAACCCATTGTATAGAAGGAAACGGTGTGGAAGGAACAATAAATAACAGCTGAGTACATGCATGTAGTCAGCTCTTGGAACAAGGATTTTAAAGCAGCTTTTGCCCAAAATACTGACTCCTCACCTGGGCCTGCAAGGCACCTAAAAGCAGTACAGCCTGGCTTCCCTGCTTCATTCTCTACCTGTCTCCTTTACTTTGGGTCTGATTCCTGCCCAGCTTTGCATGTAGCATGTTAATCACTTCAGAAGGTGTTGTCTCAAAGCTGGTGATACCAGGTTGATTAATCCTGAATTTACCTAACCTATCTCATTCCCCTTCAAGGCTGAAAGTGCAAAGATAGGAGAAACTAAGGTATTTTGCTGTCAGCTTTTACAATGTTCTGTTCTAGACCCCTGAAAAGGTGCCTGAAAGTCTCCAGTCATCATCCTAAACTTACAGTCTCCTTAGATTCCAGGAACAGTGGAGTCCTACACAATCACCCCACAATGGGCTCACCCCCTAGGTGGGAGCATTACCTGTGATGGAAACTGAGGCTGCCCCCAAGCAGGAGCAATCATCTTATGGCAACCGGATTGTCTCCTCCAGAGACAAAGACTTCTTTGGAGCCCTGGCTGAACCAGGACTGAGATAATAACGAACCAGACCACAGACTGACCAAGGCTGCTTAATTATGCATATATCTCCTCCCCTGTCCCAAAGATCAAAGCAGGGAACTAAAGGAACCCCAGGCTTTGGGACTCCAAACAAGCACTCTTTCTAGGCAGTGTGAGAGAATGGTAAACTCCTGTGCACAGGAGTTTGTCCTCAGCATTGTTCTTGCTGCCCAGAACACCACAAACCCACCACTATATCCCCACAAGCAACAGGTCACCCTTCCAATAGGCCACACCTCCACCTTGTCAGGTTCCAAATGTCTGCCCAGTGGCCAAAAGCATATTCACTCCCCAAACACACTTGGCTTCTTAGGCAGGGAAGTGGCTCTCTTATCTCCAGAGCCTAAACACCACCCTACCTGGCAGAAGAACTTGGATAGGATTGTATGTGTTGTGGTTTTTAAACTCACATTACTTTGAAGAGACAAGAGAAAGCAACCTAACTTAATGATTAAAAAAAAAAAATCCCACTGATACACTTCAAGCCCCAAGACAGCCATGTCAAAAACTCAGTTTTGAACACAGTTACTGGCGGGGAGGGGTACAGGACGCCTCTGGCTTCCTTTGCAGAGGTTCCTTCTAGATTGCACACAAAAAGTTTCCAAAATCTAAACCCAAGATGGACATTTTGCCTTCCAGTCCCACGCCTCGGGGTAATTATTTAGCTCGTAACTCTACCACTACTTTGCAAAGAAACCAAGTTTTGAGTGTTTCTGAAGTTCAGGTAACTTGCTTAGTTTGCAGGAATCGGTGCCCAGCGAGGTACCGGGGAGAGAGTCCCCTTAGGCGCTCAGGTCGCCGCTCCCCAATCTGTCCCAACTCAGAAGGCGGGAGCCGCGGGAGCCGTCGAGAGCCAGCTGCGCCATCTGTGCGGCGGCGCACGAGCACTTGGCACCGGGGCGCACGCGGAAACACGGGGGTGCCAGCTTCTCTACACCCACTGTGCGCCGCAGGCTCTCTCGGTTCCCTCCTCTGCCAAGTCACCCATGGCAATATGGGTCTTCAAACTCCCATCCTGCCGGGACCAGCCTGCAACCGAGGCCACCAGACTCACCGCGGGGCCCGCCAGGACCATGAGCGCCCGCAGCTCCTCTCGGAAGCCAGACAGCAGCAGGCAGCGCTGCCCGCGGCGCTCTGGGGTCTCGGGGCCCGGCCCGGGCGCGGTCTCCAACGGAGACTCCATGTGCCTGGCGCGGTGCTAGCGCGGAGCTCCGACGCCCGCGGCCCGGAGCGCACTGGGTGGGTTCTCACTGCAGTCCCTGCCCCCTTGCCACCGCCCCCAGCCCCACCCCCCGCCCGCGCCCGCCGGCGGGTTTGCGACCTTGGACGCGCTCCTTGCACCTCTGCGCACCAGCTGACCCGCGCAGGGTTTGTCAAGGAAAAGCACTGGAAACTAACGGGACGCGCTCCGGAGCCCCGGCAGCCGAGTTGCCAACGCCTGCGCTCTCCCCCGCCAGGCGTCTCTCCTGGGGGATTTCGGGTTTGGAAGTTGTGGCATGGAAGGACCTAGAGTCCTCCAGCCATAAGCAGACTGGTGGCCAGCCAGGTGTCTAATTGGGAGCTTCCGTGGTCTCTGCTGTGCGGCTCGCGCCCGGCACACGCTTTGTTCCCTTTGGGATTTTGCAAACTCTTTTTCTCCCACCAGTTGTTCCATTAAAGAACTTAGGATCAAGGAGGACAGGACAAGCTCATATTTTCCAAATAGCCCAGAAGGTGCTCGCTGGTTTATCATCAGCCTGATGTAGGGGAAGAAAAGGCTGTGAGCATCCCGCAAAGGGGATACCTGCAAATCAACTTGCTCGCGTCCCAAACCTCAGTTTCCTCATCTATAAACTCAAGATAGGATCAACCTCATCAAGTGTGAGGATTGACTGGGATTAGGATTGACAGGTGGGGGACTTGCCCTCAGCGCCCCCCGCCCCCCCCCACTGCCTACAAAAGTTAGTTACCAAAGTCAAGGGTAATTTCCTTATAAGGCAAAATTCCTTCTAGGGTAAGTGATCCTGGATAACAAAAATGTTTGGCTCATTGTTCTTGTATGTTTCACCTCACTGTGACAAAATTCCTGAGAAAAACACCGTAAGAGAGAAAGGATTTATTTTGGTTCACAGTTTCAGAGGTTTCAGTCCGTGGTCCACAGTTTCTGTTGTTTCTGGGCCATGGCAAGGCAAAACAGGATGTGGGAGCAAAGATGCTCACCTCAGGACAGCTGGGAAAGAGAGGGAGAGGGAGGGGAAGGGGAGAAGGGGAAGAAGAAGAGGAGGAGGAGGAGGAGACAAGAGGAGGAGGAAGAGGAGGAGGAAAGAGAGAAGAGAGAGGGAGAGGAGAGAGAGAAGAGGAAGAGGAGGAGGAAGAGAGAAAAGAGAGGGAGAGGAGAGAGGAGAGAGAGAGGAGGAGGAGGAGGAGGAGAGAAGAGAGAAAGAGGAGAGAGGACAGAGAGACCCAGGCAGGCAAGATATCCTTCAGGGAGGATGTTCCCAGCACCTCCCAAAGTAGGGCCATCAGTTGAGGACCAAGGCTTCAATACATGAACATTCATCTTCAAACCTAGGAAGTCTACATTCAGGCAGCTTTTTATTGTGGTTGTTTTGTGCTTTTCTGTACTGGGGATGGAACCCAGGGCCTCCAACATGCTGGGCAAGTCTTCTACCACTGAACTACAGCCCCAGCCAGATTGGAGGATTTAAAAACAAGGTCATTAGTGTTTTCCTCTCCTTTGTTCTCTACACCATGTGTGATTCTCCCCTTGGCTTCATTCTTCCACCTTCTCCTCTAGTTCCAAACTAACAAACAAAAACCTGGGAGAAAACTCAACGGTTCCTGCTTAGTTTTCCTGACTACTTCTGGAACAATCACCATAGCCAGAAAAACAGAGGCTTGTGTTTTGCTGCACCTGTTCTGTACATAGAGCAATGGGGCACAGGGGCTGGATGCCTTCCGGGACTGGCAATCATGAGTATATGGAAACAGCTAGAAGTTTCCCAAATGAAACCCGGATCTCTGCAGATCCAAATCCATAACTACAGTCTAACCAATAGAAAATTATCAGGCAAATCCAAATTTTAACACATCCTACAGAATAACTGACCAGGAGTCCTCAAATAGTCAAGGTCCTCAAAGACAAAGATATGTTGAAAAATTGACATAGCAGAAAGGATCCTGAAGAACAAAAGACAACTAAGGATATGTAAGCTAAGTGTGGACTTTAATTTGTGTTAGTGTGTCCGTGTCAGCTCAGCTCCTGAAAGTTATTGTTTAAATACAGCTAGAGAACTGCCTCCCATTGCCCAAGCAGAGTTAGAAAATTCAACTCTTGGCAGCAGAAAAAAAAAACGACATGGAATATGGGACTTTTGGAACACTTTGAAGTTTTTCACTTGCAGAAGACAGAGAGCAATGCTGTGTCTTTTAAGTGTCGTCTTGGAGGCTACATTTGTAAGGAATAAAGTATATGTGAAACTGACCTGTCTGTGTGTTTTGGTGTTCTAAATTTTTCATTTCATGGGATTAAAAGAATTAAAGCTAGCTGGTCATGGTAACACACACCTGCACTAGCACTTGGGAGGCTGAGGAGGGACTGGGAGGGTCACTTGAACCCAGGAATTCCAACATAGCAAGACTGTCTTCTACAGAGTCTCACACCTGTAATCCAGGTACTTGGGAGGCAGAGATCAGGATGAATACAGTTCAAGGCCAGCATAGGCAAAAAATGAGTGAGATTCCCCCATCTCAACAAATAAGCCAGGCATGGTGGTACATGTCTGTGATCCCAGCTATGCAGGAGGCATAGATAGAAGGCTTATGGTCTGAGTCTAGCCCCAGGCAAAAATGTGAGACCATAGCCAAAAAATAACAAAGCAAAAAGGACTAGATGAAGCATGGCTCAAGTAGTAGGGAGCCTCCCTAACAAGTAAAAGGCCGTGTGTTCAAACCCCAGTACTGGCAAGATGTTAGATAGATAGATAGATAGATAATAGAGTAAAATTAAGAAGGGAGAAGTTTTTAAAGGATAGAAAGTTTTCTGTTTCCTCTGAAGTTGCTGGCTACTATGGTTTGGGTATGGTTTGAGGGTGTCCACAAAGGTCCATGTGTTAGAGTTTGGTCTTCAGTGTGGTGATGTGAGAGGCAATGGGACCTTGAGGAAGGAGAGCCAAGTGAGAGATCATTGAGAACATGGCCCTGGGAAGAGCCTGACACTGCTCTCAAGGAGCGTTAGTCCTCCTGAGAGTGAGTGGTGAGCAAGCCGGCACTCCGGCTTCCTGTCTCTCCATGGGATTGCTCCCTCCCACCTGTGCACCGCCATGATGCCATCTACCAGGATGTAATACAGCTAAAGGGACCCCTACCAGAGCCAATGTCACACTGTTTGTACTTTCCACCTCCAAAGCTAAATAAACTTCTTTTCCTTATACATATTTACCCTCAGGTATTTTTTATAGCAATGGGAAATAGGCTTATACACTCCAACCTCTGCTCATCACCTCTCTCTCTCTCTCTCTCTCTCTCTCTCTTTGATTCCTTTGCCTTCATCTTCCAAGGACACTTCAGATTCCACTTTGCCCACCCAATAATTCATGGTGATCTCAGGATCGCTAACCTACACCTACACAGTCCCTTCACCACGTAAGGTAACACAGGCACAGGTCCCAGGGATCAGTGCGTGAATGTCGTGGGAGAGGCATTTTTCGGGATCTCACACCGTCTCGACATGTGTACGGCTTCCTGCATTCTTTACTTGATTAACTTTCCACTCTGTGGTGGTTACTTCTCAAGTAGGCCATGTGGTGCATACTTTCTGAATCTTTGCAGGTCATATCCCACATACTCCAACGCTTCTAGCATTTTGTGTTCCAGATGAAAAGTCCCTGCCATCTCATTCTCTTTTTATTATCAGACAGTGACTATAACAGTTCCCCAATATTCTTTTCACACCAAACAATTCATTTATGGGCAAGAAGCTCATTTTCCTTGTCAAGGCTTTGTGTAGGGATGGACAGACACAGCCCAATTTTAGCTATGAAGTATGAGCAAAAATGTCTCTGGGAAGGTTCCCTTGTTTCTAAGAAAGTCATAAAAGAAAATGGTTCTTATTTTTCTCTTCAGGTATCACACAGTATCTGGACATTATGCCTAGGACTGTTACAGCCAGCATACTTCTAGCCCAAGGATAAGGCCAATATTGGAAAAGGACAAAGTCAAGAGAATTACAGACATGAAATGGAGAGAGAAAGAGAGAGTGTTACAGACAAAGTATAAACAGACCATTGTAAAAAGGAGAATTTCTGGTATTGGCAAGAAAGTGGAAGTTTTTTTTTTTAATTTACACACACAGAAGGAGAACCAAACTTTTTATTTGTACTAACTCCCCTCACAGATCATAAAGGAAAACAGACCTCAGAACTAACAGACACACACAGACATACAGACATACAACAGAAAAGCTTGGGGCGGGAGGACTGCACGTTCCTGATGGGAAATGTGAGCGCCTACCTGAGCCAGAGTGTTTATTTTATAGGTCAGTACAGGGAAAAGACTCAGGTAAAAATCAAGCTGCAACAATTCTTTGATGCAAGGTGAAAGGAATGAGGTTTGGTGGGCTAATTTTCCTAAGGCTATAGAAGCTTAATTACAGCACATCAGTTCTGGAATCATCAAGGCAAGCAGGACACCTTATCTAAAGTATTGATGAATCTGGCATCAGGGAGTCTCCTAGCAGTTCTGGTACTTTATCTAGTTTTGCATCAGGGGGCTGGTTTGCTGACACAGCAGGTTGTATTCTTTAAGGAGATGTGAGAACAAAGGTTAAGACACCAGGTACTGGGGAAAATATGGTAGAAGAGGCTGTGCAAACTTCTACCATGGAGAGGCTGTGCAGACTCCATTATATTCCAATTCAGGCTTCATGCCTGGCCTCCAACACCAGGGAGAGGAAAAACACTTTTCTTATTGAGTGACTTGAGCTCATACTGGCACATAAACATTTAAAAACAAAACTGAGGAACCCAGGGGGTATCAGCATCCCCAAGATAAACAAACAAAAACCCCAAATTCCTATTGTCTCACGTTCAACAAAGATCACCAGATGGTCTCACTGACAAAATCCCACTGAGGGGAAAATAAATCACTACACAACTCAGAACAAAAACCAGAAGCAGACATGGCCAAGAACCAGACCTGATGCAA